TATTTAAGTTTACACTAATCCTTTCCTCGTTTTCAGTTTCTCACTCAAATCTACCTATCTTACCCTAAAAACTCTACCGTACGTTACTCTACCCCAAAAGTCCATTTAAAACCTTAAAATCTCAAAAAAACCTGGTCAAAATCCAAAAAATCGACCAAAAGCCAAAATGAAAGTTAATTCCCCCCCCTACCCTCCCAAATCTTTGCCCGGAATGGGTATTACTCTTCTCGAGCAAAAAATCCCTAATACAATTTCGTATCGTCGTACTCGAAGATTAAGAAACACGTAGGCGGCAACGTGTTCTCCGCCCTATAACTACATTATAACAGACATTTCGGATTAGCCATGTGTTTAAAATTAGATGGCAGGACACGTGATCTACTGAGCGGGTCTTCGTTTCGTAATGGGAATACTGTATTGTTCTAATGTATGCGAAAGAGTGGCATAAAGATGTTTCTGGAAAATTACATTTTGTTTACTGCGTTTCAAAAGTAAAGTTAGGATAAAAATCTTATCTTACCCTGACCTGCCCTATCTTGCCTTGCCTTGCCATGCCTTGCCTTGCCTTGCCTTGCCATGCCTTGCCTTGCCTTGCCTTGCCTTGCCTTGCCTTGCCTTGCCTTGCCTTGCCTTGCCTTGCCTTGCCTTGGTCTGGCTTGGCTTGCCTTTCCTTTCGTTGCCTTGCCTTGCCCTACCATGTCTTGCTTTGCCACGCCTTGCCTTGGCAATCCTAAGCCTGAATAGCTGAGCCCAGCCAAGCCAAACCAAACTAATAAAAACAAGCCCATCCCAGATAAGACAAGCCAAACCCAGGCCATATTAGACACGACCAGTCCAGCACAGCCCAGGACAGTCCAACGCGGCTCAACCTTGTCCTGCCCAACCCTGTCTTGCCTTGCCTGGCCAAGCCAAATCATTATAAGCCAAGCCCAGTCATGCCCGGGCTTGAATAGCCCAGCCAAGCCCAGCCTAGATAAGACAAAGCAAGCTCATCCCAGCCCAGACCAGCACAACCCAGCCAAGCCCAGTCCAGCGCAGCCCAACCCTGTCCTGCCAAACCCTGCCTTGCCTGGCCAAGCCCAGCCAATCTAAGCCAAGATAAGCCGAGCCCAGCCATGCCCAGGCTTGAATAGCACAGCCTCATCATGCCCTGCCGAGTTTTGCCCTGTCCAGCCCTGTCCTACAATACCCTATTCTATCATATCATGTAATATCATAGCCTAACCTACCCTATCCTATAACAGCCTTAACCTACCTATATCCTCATTCCTAATACCTCCCTTTCCAGCCTCAAATATTAATCATAACATCCCCCAACTCCTCACGTAATCACCTCCCAATAACCCAAAAATACGTCAAAAAGCAAAGACCCCGCTCGTATGTGACATCTTTGAAGAACACTTGTTCAGACGTCTTTCGAAGATCGAATTACGAATAATCTCGTGAGGACAATTGAAACTATACAAATCGAACTAACAAACAAACGTAAGTGGATTAAGGTCTTTTGCACATTAAAACGCGTCCCCCCCCCCCCAATTTTAAGCTGGTATTAAACGAAATTCGGCTTAAAATTGGTTCTGCACCCGCTGGTCATAAACTATATGGAACTGAAGTTAAAACTGATCATTGTGACCAATAATATACATACAGATGAGCAGAGTAGAATAATATTATGTGCCGACATTAAGAACCCGCCATTTTTTACAGGAAATTACAGGCAAAGTATGGCGGGTTCTTTATGTCGGCACCCTAGGGCTCTGGGCTAGGGCTCTGGGCTAGGGCTCTGGGCTAGGGCTCTGGGCTAGGGCTCTGGGCTAGAGCTCTGGGCTAGGGCTCTAAACTAGGACTCTGTGCTAGTGCTCTGGGCTAGGGTTCTGGGCTAGGGCTAGAACTAGTGCTAGGGCTAAAGCACAGCTAAAACAAAACTCATCACGCCTTTCACCAACCTCAAGTACACCCCAAATCAAAAACAATCCCCCACACATCTTCAGCCTAGACTGAAATATGAGGTCCAGACGCTATTTTTGTTTGTCCTTTCGAGTTTTGAGAAAATAATTAAAAAAGTAGGTAATATTTTTGTTTTGTCCTTGCCTAAAATACTCAAAAAACAGGAAACCGAAACGGAAATCAAATTCCCAACGAAAAAAAAATAATTCGCCCAAAGGGCTTGCAATCAGAGACAGGTGCTTGAGTAATCGTTTTGCACTCGGATTTAACGCCTCGAGGCCAGAGATCCGGCCGGAGGGGTTTTGCGGATATAAAAGAAATACATATATACATTATGACAATTTAAAATGTTATAAAAAGAGGGAGTACATATCTGGAGACGGCTAGACTAGACATGAGAAACGGGCCGGGCCCAATTTTCAAGCCCGCCCCGTTGCTCATGTATAGGCTAGACTAAAGCGATATAACTACTCCAATTCACAAAATAAGGTTACGCTAAAGCTTATTAAAGCTAGACTATGCTTTGACAAGTCTGAATAAAAGCTAGGACACTGTAATTACAATCAGACTAAGAATAAAGCTAAGGCCATGGCTAAAGCTGGCTGGGCCAAATCAAAGCAAAAGTTAAAACACTCAAAGCTAAGACTTTGGCATGGCTAAACCAAGGCTAAGGCAAAACTAAAGCAAAAAATGACAAAGTAGAGCAAGGTCTTTGAAAAATTAATAAGCTCCACCTTGTAGTAAAGAAAAGTTTATAAGCTCCACCTTGTAGTAGAACGTTCCAAAATTTCTCTTATCAGCCACTGAGAATTCAGAGCCGAAACATGAGCTAACCTCAAACTTGGGTTAATAAACCAAAGATATTATCCTTGCTTCGCCTCTAAAGAGAAAGATTTTTTGTTTTTCAATTAGTATTGATTCAATTTTGGGAGCTATTCTAGCGCTCTTCCACTCTCTCTTATATTACACTTGATCTCGCCTTTGTTTCTTGTTGTATTTTGAAGCGCACTGATTTTTCTCTTTCTCTATCTTTATCGTATGTTAATATGGGCCCTAATGCTTCATGTTAACATACGCCAAAGATAAAGAGCGAGTGAAAACAAAACCAAGATAAACTGTAATATAAGAGAGAGTGGAAGATCGCTAGAATAACTCCAAAAATCGTGTCAGACCTGGTTGATGAACAAAATAGCTTTTTCTTTAAAGCAAAAGCAAGGATTATATCTTCGGTTTAATAACCCAAGTTTGAGGTTTGCTCATTTTTCGGCTCTGAACTCTCAGTGGCTGATAAGAGAAATTTTGGAACGCTCTACCACAAGGTGGAGCTCATAAGCTCTTTTCTACTACAAGTTGGAGCTCATAAATCTTTTCAAAAGGCTCTATTAGTGTTAAGTGTTAAAAATCTCGTTAAAAATCAACTCTAGCTTAGCTTCAGGTCTATCTTACGGAAAAACGAGCAAAAAAATAATTCCATGGCACCTTTTCTAGACAAAATAACGAAATTTCTAGAAATAGTTAGGTTTCATGACACATTTTCTAGATTTTTCACATATTTTCTTTTCTTTTTGCTTTTTCAGGCAAACTTTACTTGAATTTACAATTGTAACAAATGATTTATATTGTTTTCTACAATTTATGCAAATAAAAATTGTAAAACTTTTAGCTTTTTGCAGGTTTATAAGCTCCGTGTTGTTGTAGATAAGGTTTGAAATTTTTTTTGTTAGCTAGGCTAAAATATGTCTGAGCTAAAATGATGCTAAAGCTAATAGAGGCTAGAATATGCTAAGGAAAGCCTAAATCTAAGGTTATGGCTATAGCTAAGATTTCTGTTTGCAAACTATGAGCTCCACTTCGTAGTAGAGAAAAGTTTATGAGCTCCACCTTGTAGTCTCTACATTGTTGTAGATTAGCTTTAAAAAACTTATGAGCTCCACCATGTAGCAGAGCGTTCCAAAATTTCTCCTATCAGCCACTGAAAGTTCAGAGCCGAAACATGAGCTAACCTCAAACTTGGGTTAATAAACCGAAGATATTATCCTTGCTTCTGCTCTAAAGAGAAAGCTCTATGTCTTTTCGAGTGAGTTTGACTGTATTTCGGGAGCTGTTCTAGCGATCTTCCCCTCTCTTATATTAACCACGAGCGCGCTAATCGCTTTGTCTCTCTCTCTCTCTATTTCTGTCGTATATTAACATGAAGTATTGGAAAGCAGAGACCTATGTGCGCAGACATTTAACTGTCTTTAAACATACGAGAAACATAGAGAGTGAAAAAGAGTGTTACCGCGCTCATGGTTAATATAAATAAGAGAGAGTGAAAGATCGCTCGAACAACTCCCGAAATGGAGTCAAACTCATTCGAAAAGAAACAGAGCTTTCTCTTTAGAGCAGAAGCAAGGGTAATATCTTCGGTTTATTAACCCAAGTTTGAGGTTAGCTCATGTTTCGGCTCTGAACTCTCAGTGGCTGATAAGAGAAATTTTGGAACGCTCTACTAACTCTAATGGTGGAGCTCATAATTCTACAAAAAAAAATTGAGGAAAAAACAGTTAAGCAGTTTTTCTGGTCGAAATTTTGAAATGGACCTGGCTTAAGCAGTATGTTTTGATCCCTCCAGATCGGGCCCGATTTTGAAGCTCGGCTCAACGCTTATGTAGGCTCAAGGCCAAGACTACACCTTAATTCATAAAATAAACGATCGTATTTTACCGTCATTCTTACAATTTACGATATTATTGTTGTATTATTTCACAATCGTATTGTAAAGTTATCCTACCACGAAAACAATTATTGCAAAGACGAATTAAACAAAATGCCAAACGATATATTGTTTAGCGCGCGCGCGAATGTATTTGCAAAGTAAATTTGTTTGGAAATAACGCAAATATAGTGTTTTTTAGCTTATTTCCGACTTTTTGTCAAAAGAACGTTTATTTTTGTTTTTTCTACGTATTTCAGAGATTTTATAAGTTTTTTCTGCGTGATAAGGCGCCTTTCTTGTCGATTTTAATATTTTTCTTCATTCTCATATTATACATTCTAGGAGTAGGCAAACTATGGGTCGAGACCATGGGAAACGACGTTCTTCAAGGTCTCCGCGAGGTAAATGATTTTGATTTGCTTTTTACATTTAGAAACATAAATTGTTTTAAAAGGACTACAATAACATGTGGAATCGTTGAAAATAGTTGTTTAATAATGTTCTGGGTAAATATAGGTTTGTAATTATTATTTTTAATCTTCTTAGTTTTTTTACTTACTAATTAGTCTATTTTTAGGTTCTCGACGTTCCCCGCCTCGAAGAAGGAGCAGATCACCACGAAGACGGAGTAGATCGCCGAAAAATCGTCGAGATGATAGGCATAGGCATCATTCACCAGAATCATTGTCTTCTAGACGTAGAGAAGAAGCTCGGGAATCAGATAGAAGACCTCGAGGTGCTGAAAAGCAACCTCAACAGCCAATGAAACAAGAATTCAAGATGCCAAGCTTTGGGATAAAGACAGAAGAACCGAAAACAGCTCCAAAAGCTCGGAACTTTGATCCGTTGACTGGTGAAGAGAAGAAAAAGCAAGAAAGCAATGAGGATGTTGTGTTACCTTCGTTTGAAGTGTCAGGGAAGTTGACTGCGGACACAAACACGTTTAAGGGAGTTGTGATCAAGTACAACGAACCTCCAGAAGCTGCTTTGCCTAAATTGAGATGGATGTTGTATCCAATGAAGGTGGGTTTGATTTATTTGTGTTTTATGGTTTAGGTATTGAAATGACAAACGTTTTCTAAGCGGATTTTTAAAAAATTGGGTTTATGTAAGGCGTTACGGTGATGATATTATCCATGATGATCAAGTCTAATATTTTTTGATTTTTTTGAATTTTCAAAAATTTTTATAATTTGAAATTACGTTTTTATGAAAGCTTGAAGCAGTAAAAATATTTTAAATCTTATTTACCTTTTGGAATTTCAGGAAGAAGAAGTAATGAAGCCTTTCTACATGCACCGTCAATCCGCTTACCTTATCGGTCGAAACCGAAAGATTGCTGACTTTCCGGTCGATCACCCTTCCTGTTCGCAACAACATGCTGTATTTCAATACCGAAAGATGGATTTCGAACGGAATGGAGTACCAGGCAAGCGGATATTACCATACATAATCGACTTGGGGTCTTCGAATGGCACCTACCTAAATGGAGACAAAATAGAAGCACAAAGATATTACGAATTGAAGGAGAAAGACGTAGTAAAGTTTGGATTCAGCAGCCGAGAATATGTTATACTACATGAGTTATCGGCAGAAGGGAAGGATGGCGAGAGGGTGGATGAGGAGCTTGAGGATAGTGATGTTGAAGTAGATCTGGATGGAGCTGAAGAACGATTGGCTAAAGCTGAGGAGGACTATTTTTGATGTTGTCATTGGAATTTAAAACATATTCTTGAGATTTTAGTTTTAAAATGGTAATTTTTCGAAAAATTGTTGTTTTAAAGCCATTTTTCTTTGTTGTTTTAGGTAACATTTGGTATCTAAAATGACAAACATGAACTTTTATGACAAAACCTTGTTGGCTATGGCATATTTTTTGATTAAATTAAATTTCTAGTTATTTTTCGTTGTTAATGTTATGAGTTTTATAGAAATAAACTGTACATACCTGAATATCGACGATTTATGTTTAATATGTTGTGTCGTGTCAATGTTACTTTTGTTTTTGTGGTTTTGTGCTTATTATTTGATATTTTTTGTGGGTTGTATATGATCTAAGGTTGTATATATAAGCCGAATCTTCTGCTTGAATACAATGTTTTAATGTTTAGATTGTTCGGCCGAAAATGGGCGCCTGGGCCGAGATTGTTCTGTGGCAAAATGGAAAAGTGGTCAGTTTATATGATTGGCACGTGATAGGGGGTTATATACTTGGTATTTAGTAGGGAATTGTATGCTTTTTATTTGATAGGAAAAGGATAGTTACAAGCTCGTTACCTTTATTTACTTTGTAGCTTGTTTTGATAACTTTACCTACGTTAAAATGACAAATCTTACGATATTCTTTTAGTTACACTCGTTTCTGGCCGATGAAGCTTCGGTGGACATTGGCAAACAATTCTTGGTTTCTAGCGCTTTTCAAAACACAGGTAAGATTGTTTCACAATTTTAAATGGTTTTTTTTTTGTAAAATACGGGCTTAATTGTTCTCGATACCAAAGAGGGTTAAATTGACACCTAAAACATCTTCAGATCCCCAAATCTGCACAATAACTAAGCTGAAGAGTGGGTGCGAAGTCAAGAACCACTCATTCCAACCGATTTACATCGACACCACCGCCAACCATCGTCCCGGCGTTCCACACTCAAAACATTCACCCAAAGACTTGGCCAAATCCGAATCGGCCATGCTTTTCTGGGACACAGCCTTTGCCAGAGCCCTGAAAGATGCCACAACAGTCGAAGAGTTACAGTCGAAAGAGCTTCAATCAATGTGTTACTCGAAGATCGAATTCAAAAGAAGCGGCGAGAACTTTGGCATCGGAATAACGTTCGTCGAGGCGTGGGAGAAGATTAGAAAGGCTATCGCGGCCAAGAGTTTTGGACTGGATAATAGTGAAGTGTGAGTTTTTAGGGATAGATTTTTTGGTTTTAAGATGGTGAGGGGGGGGGGACAATTTTTTGAAATGAGGGGTGTTTAAAAAAGTTTTTTTTGGGGTGGGTGGGGTGAGTCAAAAAAAAATTTTTTTTTGGGGATGGGCGGGGGTAAAAAAATCAAATTTAACTTGAGTCAGGGACGGATGGTGTCAAATTCGACTCTTCCTTAAAAAAAATTTTTGGGGGTATGGGAAGAGGGAAAAATCAAAAATTTTTTTAAATTTTTTTTTGAAATTCACGGTGCGGAGGGGGACAAATTCATTGTTTTCTAAATTGATGACAATGGTTTTTAACATATAAACATTAGGTTGTTCGAATAATTCTGCGCCCCTTTCTAAAATTTTTTTTTGGTTTGAGGGCACAGAATTATTTACTTAATAGTTTTGTAAAACGCAGTTTTTGGGCTTTAATTGTGAAGTAAGAAGTGATTGCACTATTTACCACAAGTAAATTAACAAAAAATTAATTTTAAAACTATAAACTAAACTTCAAACCTATTTTCAGGAACAGAACAGTATCGTTGTCCCAATCCGATGCTCAACGCTTCAAATTGCCAGTCTTTAAGCCAAGCTCGTCTCCATTGCGTAACAGATCCTCTTTGGCTCTAATATTGGACAGAGAAGAGGCTAGGCCAAGGAAATCGTCGATTGTCAGGGATTTGGTCAATAATTTCACGGTACTTTATGTTTTTGGTATATTACGCTGTTCCAATAATTCTGGGTTCCTTAACCTCGATAATTTGCTTTGAGAGGGGGTGCAGAATTATTTGAACAACGTAATATTTTAATAGTGTGCCCTTGACCCTGAAAATTTGTTTTGATATGGGCTCAGAATTATTTGAGCAACCTAATATTTTAAAAGGGCACAGAATTATTTGAACAATCAGGTTTTCAAAATTTGAAGTTTTGGATAACAATATTTTTCAGACTCAAATCGAGAACAAAGAGAACCAGCTTGTCCACACCTCATCAACCTCATCGTTGACTCCAAAATCAGAATCCGAAGCCCTACCACCGAAAGGTCGACCATCCTTAAGGAAGTCGAATGCCTTGTTCCTAAATCACAAAACCCCAGTCCTAAAACAATCGCTGATCGAACTGGACGAGGAGGTGAAGCTTCTGGAGCTAATGGTACAGAAAATTCAAGAGAATGGTCATCATAGTCATCATACCGAAAAGAATGGCAAAATAGATGACAGATATGGTCGTGACCTCAAATATGGCCGAAGAAGTGTAACAGATCAAACTCCACCGAACAGAACCTCGAGACACGCTCACTACAGCCACGTGGCTTCGGAATCCTCGCCGGAAGAGGTGATTCTCAGAACCGAACGAATCGAACCCAAAATTCGAACTTTTTCCACCGGAGGCATGGCTAAATTGGAGGTGTAAGATGAAGATGGCATTGGTATTGTGGAGAGCTGAAGGTGGTGAGAATGTATTATATTGTAGTAGGTGGATTTTTGTCGTAGATGGCATACATTGTATTAAATAACTTGATATGTTACAGCGTAGTAAGAATGTTTGTCATTGATGTTCAGCTCAGTTTTTGGTCGATGAAAATATTTTTAGCTTGTCTTGCTGGTTGATAACAATGTTTTCAGCCGCTTTTTTGGTCGATAATCAGTATTTTGATCTCTTTTTTTGTCAAAATCTCGCTTTATTAATGATTTTAGGCTTTTTTTTAAATTAATTGTTGTCTTTTTAAGTATTATTTAATCAGTTATGCCCTTTTTTCATATTGTGTCAAGTAGCTATTGCTAAAATATTGCCGAACAATCAAAGTTTAATCTGTGTTAAATAAGATAATCAAGTTGCTAATTGTAATAGTATAAGTAATATGTTGTCCATGTAATATTTGTGTCCACTAATAAAATTAAAAGTTTTGAAAAGTGAAATTTTGGTTAAAATTTGGTTTTTGTTACCTATTTTTTGAAATTGTGTAAGATTTGTTACCTAAATTTCAGAAGTAAAAGTTTTGGTTGAAGTTTTGTTTTTTCACTTATATTTTGAAAAAGGTATAATTTTTGATTGAAAATAGGACTTTGTTACCTAAATTTGTATTTTTTGTTTTGTAAAGAAAGTTCTTGCCATTTTTTAATTTGTAAAGAAAGTTCTTGCTATTTTATGTTTTGTAAAGAAAGTTCTTGCTATTTTATGTTTTGTAAAGAAAGTTCCTGTCATTTTATGTTTTGTAAAGAAAGTTTTTGCCATTCTTTGTTTTGTAAAGAAAGTTTTTGCCATTTTTCGATTTGTAAAAAAAGTTTTTGCCATTCTTTGTTTTGTAAAGAAAGTTTTTGCCATTTTTCGATTTGTAAAGAAAGTTTTTGCCATTTTTTGTTTTGTAAAGAAAGTTTTTGCCATTTTTCGATTTGTAAAGAAAGTTCTTGTCATTTTTTGTTTTGTAAAGAAAGTTCTTGCCATTTTTTAATTTGTAAAGAAAGTTCTTGCTATTTTATGTTTTGTAAAGAAAGTTCTTGCTATTTTATGTTTTGTAAAGAAAGTTCCTGTCATTTTATGTTTTGTAAAGAAAGTTTTTGCCATTCTTTGTTTTGTAAAGAAAGTTTTTGCCATTTTTTGTTTTGTAAAGAAAGTTTTTGCCATTTTTCGATTTGTAAAGAAAGTTTTTGCCATTTTTTGTTTTGTAAAGAAAGTTTTTGCCATTTTTCGATTTGTAAAGAAAGTTTTTGCCATTTTTTGTTTTGTAAAGAAAGTTTTTGCCATTTTATAGTCTGTAGAGAAAGTCATTGCCATTTATTACATTGTAAAGAAAGTTCTTACGATTTTACGAAATTTTGAAATTTTAAGACTTTAAACGTAAGCCCAAATAGAATATTATGCTTTATTAGAAGTGAAATAATTTAAAAGTCCAGCACCTGTTTTAATATCCTCACATACTCTTCCATCGATATGGCTTCAACGTCCAACGTGCTTAGGGCGTTCTTCAACGTGATTGCTTTTCGAAGTTGGGCTTCGACTCGCATGTGATAGCCGGCTATCGTCGAGCGGGATTGGAGATCTTTCGAGGCGTAGGTCTGTTGAATGGTCGATAACTGAAAGTTTTAGGTTTGTAAAGAAAGTTCTTGCCATTTTATTGTTTGTAAAGAAAGTTATTGCCATTTTATTGTTTGTAAAGAAAGTTATTGCCATTTTAAGCTTTATAAAAAAAGTTATTGCCATTTTATGGTTTGTAAAGAAAGTTATTACCATTTTTTCCTTTGTAAAGAAAGTTCTTGTCATTTTAAACCCTGTAGAGAAAGTTCTTTTCGTTTCAGCCTGCGGGAGACAAGTTATACGATTAATGTCATTTTAAGTTCTGTAAAAAAAGTTATTGCAATTGGCATGTAAAATGAGTTTAGTAAATAAAGTTCTTGCTATTTTAGGTTCTGTAAAGAAAGTTATTGTCATTTTCTGCTCTGTAAAGAAGGTTTCTTACCTGTTTCTGTAAATTCTGTAGTCGTCGTATTTTCGAGTCGATAACGATTTGTGCGCAGTTAATGTTATGAGTATATTCTTCATACGATTTCCGTTTGTCAATAATCGGTTCCGACGTTTCGAACTCGAACAATTGTGAATCAGACATGCTTGAACTTGAGCGACTGAACTCACAAGAATTCATCATTACCTGTGTCTAAAAATTTTAAATTAAATAGCAATTGGGTAACAATTGTGACTGGTAAAATTAGGTAACATAACTCGCTTTACTCTACCCTACTGTACCCTACCCGACCCTACCGTTTATTTTATTTTGCCATATCCCTACTCTTCTATCCTCTACCCATAAATTATACCTCACTTGATTTTAGCTTAGTATTAGGTGCCAACATAAAGAACCCGCCATACTTTTCCTGTAATTTCCTGTAAAAAATGGCGGGTTCTTTATGTCGGCAACTAATATATGTAAATATCTGAATGACTATAGATTAGTACAACAAACAGCAATCCTTTCTGTTACCTCAACTAATTACCTAGCAAACACAAAGTTATCAACATTGAAAGGTGTTTCCACACTTAATTACAGGGTTCAATATCTCTAAAAGAAACTGTTGTCTAGCCTACTATTATTTATGTTTTTGTCGCGAATTAACTGATAATGCCACTTTTGTTTGTTTCAAGTCATATGGACAGTAAAGGAAGATAACAAAAAATGTAGAGACTAGGCTGTGATAGGGTGTGGGTAAATTAAAAATGATTTTTTTGAGTGGGCTGGGTTCTCTGGGTTGGGACTCTACGCTATGGATTTGAACTAGAACTCTAGGGCTAAAGCTAGGACTAGGTCTTAGACTAGGGATTGATCTAAGAAAGGGGCGAAGGCTTAAGCTAGGGCTCTGGGCCAGGGCTCTGAGCTAGGGCTGTGGACTAGGACTCTAGGCTATAACTAGAGTTAGGACTAGGGTCCTGGGCTATGGCACTAGGCTAAGGCTAGGACTAAGGGTATGGCTAGAGCTAGGGCTAAAGCTAGGGCTAAAGCTAGGGCTAGAGCTAGGGCTAGGGCTTGAGCTTGTACTTGGACTAGGGCCGAGACTACGGCCAAATCTGAGGCTACAGCTCAGCTATGCTAGTGTATAAAAATGAATTTTAAGACTAGCATACCATCTCACCAAGCTGTTTAATCAAAAACTTAGCCAAAAGAAAGGTCGTTCAAAACCAGAGTGTAATGCAACATTAAAAATAGACGAGAGACTTTAATTGACACATCATATTAATAGTGAAGCCAAGTACACATGCGCTTTTTTATAAAAAGTCTGTTGACAAACCTGCCACTCCTCAGCGACTGATAACGTTTGGCTAATTTACTTAAAATTTGCTTAATTTTATTAAATCTGAATTTCAGAACTGATCATATACTGTAGAAACTACATATAAAGAAATACATATTACATGCCGACGTAAAGAACCCGCCATTTTTTACAGGAAACTACAGGAAAAGTATGGCGGGTTCTTTATGTCGCCGCTTAATATAAACCTAAATAAAGTGACCCTAGCTCAGCCCCCTTGCGCTGGATCAGGCTAGATTGAGCTAGGCAAGGCAAGGTAAAGCAGGGTAGGTTAGGGCAAGAAAGCGCAAAGCATGGTACGGTAGTTTAGGGAAGGCTGGGATAAAGTAGGGTAGGGAAAGGTAGGGTAGGGTAAGGTAGGGTAGGGTAGGGTAGGGTAGGGTAGGGTAGGGTAGGGTAGTGTAGGGTAGGGTAGAGTAGGGTAGGGTAGGGTAGGGTAGGGTAGGGTAGGGTAGGGGTAGGGTAGGGTAGGGTAGGGTAGGGTAGGGTAGGGTAGGGTAGGGTAGTGTAGGGTAGGGTAGAGTAGGGTAGGGGTAGGGTAGGGTAGGGTAGGGTAGGGTAGGGTAGGGTAGGGTAAGGTAGGGTAGGGTAAAAATTGAAAAAAGACTCAATATTGTAGTAGATCACAAAATCAAAAAACAGAATATTATTGTCAAATTCTGTTTCCACAGCTGTCAGATTAGAAATCACCTTGATTTCAGAATATTTTTTGTTTCAAAACCCGGCTCAAACCTTGCGTAAAAAACAAACAGTTCAGAAATGGCCTTGGCTGTCTACTTTTTTATGCGAGTTACTACTGAAAACTTTTATAGCTATAAATGTCTTTGAAAATATTTTTATGTATAATACCACGTTAAAAATGGCACAAAATTAATAAAAAGTGATAAGCCTAGCTCTAGTCTTAGCCCTAGCCGTAACGCGGAGCCCTATTCCAGAGCCCGGAGCCTTAGCACAGAGCCCTGCCCTAGCACTAACATTAACCAAGTCTTAGCTTGGGTCCTACCCAGAGCCCTAGCCCAGAGCCCTAGCCCAGAGCCCTAGCCCAGAGCCCTAGCCCAGAGCCCTAGCCCAGAGCCCTAGCCCAGAGCCCTAGCCCAGAGCCCTAGCCCAGAGCCCTAGCCCAGAGCCCTAGCCCAGAGCCCTAGCCCAGAGCCCTAGCCCAGAGCCCTAGCCCAGAGCCCTAGCCCAGAGCCCTAGCCCAGAGCCCTAGCCCAGAGTCCTAGCCCAGAGCCTTAGCCTAGAGCCTTAGCCCACAGCTCTAGCCCAGAGCCCTAGCTCAGATCCCTAACCCTAGCCCAAGAGCAAGCTTAAGTCCAAATCCTTAGCCATAGTATAAAAGAAGCCCTAGCCTCAGTACTAGCCTTAGCTTTAGACATATTCCTACTTCTAGTCTTACAAAACATAATTAGTCTTAGCCAAGGCCTTAGCCGTATGCAAAAATCCGTGCCCCAACACCTAGTTCTAATACCGCTAGCCGTTTCTTTAGCCTTAGACTTAACCATAGTCCGTCTTATTTTTCTTTCGCTTTCTATCTTGCCGCCTTTTCTTGCCTTACTCAGTCTTGCTTAAAACTGACATGTATAACATTCCTCACTACTTAAAACACTAATTTTTCTCTTGGCCTACAACAGATGGCTTTTATCATATAAAGAGACAACGTATCATAAAAAAATTTTAAATCAACGTAAAATTTAAACATCCATTCCATCACAAAATAGCTCTAAAATTATTATTAAAACAATTCAAACAGCCCTAAATTGGGAGTTGGAAAAGAAACAAAAGCGTTATTTGTTCATCTGAATCTGCTTAAACGGTTCGAAATCGCTTCAATAGATTAAAATTATTTTTTGACCTTGGCGTCAACGTTTTTTCGCGAAACACAGTTTACAGCTGATTTTCAGGCATTGACAAAATAAAAGTTATGTTGTCCTTCAAAAGGTTTGTCGCCCAAAGTAAATTAAAGTGCAAATGATAAGGTACGTTAAATTGAGCTAGACAACCAAGGCAAGACAAAGGCAAAGCAAGGAAAGGAAAGGCAAGGCAAGGCAAGGCAAGGCAAGGCAAGGCAAGGCAAGGCAAGGCAAGGCAAGGCAAGGCAAGGCAAGGCAAGGCAAGGCAAGGCAAGGCAAGGCAAGGCAAGGCAAGGCAAGGCAAGGCAAGGCAAGGCAAGGCAAGGCAAGGCAAGGCAAGGCAAAAGCAAGGCTAGGATAGGCTGGATAAAGAAACAGTAAATGAAAGTAGAGTATAACAGAGCAAAGTGCAATAAGTCACATACATGAACATAATATTAAAACGAAAGCAAGGCTAACGTAAGGTTGGGATAAGAGTAGGGTAAAACAGAATAGATAAGGTAAGACTAACGCAAAAGTTTATAGGGTAAAAAGTCATGAGGGGATGGTAGGGCTTGAGCAGATACAGTTAACGTAAGGCTGAGCTGGAGCTTAGATTTTGGCATAAACTTTGGCTTCTCCTAGGTTTTATGCTAAGATTAAAGCTAGGTCTCTGAGATGGGGCTAGAGTTAGAGCTAGGGTAAAGGCTAAAGCTAAGGTTAGAGCTGAAGCTAGGACTTATTAAACTAGTGCATAGGCAGTGGCTTAGGCTGGGGCTTAGGCTACTTGTCAATTTTATAAGGGATATCATAGTTTTACTTGTAAAAATTGAAAAAGAGCATTGTTTTTTGGTTCAAATCAGGTAAATCCGATTGGACGAAACGAAATCTGTTGGATTATACATATAAGAGTGATTCAGCTAGAAAAAAATATTTGTAAAATTTTCCACTAGCAAGTCTAATAATACATACTTTTCCAATATCCCAAAATTTTTTTTTGGTTTTGAACCCCCCCCACCTCTTCTTAAAAAATTTTTTTACCCCGCTCAAAAAAATTTTTCTAACCTTCTTATTAGTAATGCAACACCTGCCACCAATGAAAAAAATATTTTTATATCACCCTCCCCCCCTAAACTAAATTTCTTATCATGCCCAAAAAATATTTTTTGATCTTTTTATTGGTAATGCAGACTCTGCCATCAATTAAAAAAATTATAGTATCTTCCCCCACCCCCTTCCTCAAATAATACAATTATTACCCCGCCCATTGACTATTGTCCAAATCTCATGTTCCTTACTCAGCTAAACGTCATACAAATTTGACCACATAATAATATAATAATTGCAACAAACGATAAAACAACTAAAAATAGACATGAAAAGCGGCGTATCTGCATGAACAAAATTCTCCCCCGCCCCATAACACTGTCCCGCTTTTTGCCAATCGAACGAACTGGGGGAGGGGGTTTTGTAACATTACGAATGCCCGAAACCGAGACACTGATCGAACCGTCTGATCTGCGGAAACGGAACGCTATATTAATCATTAATGATATACTAGTCTGTTCGATAGACGTATTCAAATTAGTTTTTGAAAGAAAGAAAGGGGTTAGGAGGAAATTTTATTTTTAAAAGAATGACACTTATGCCTGGCCATGGCAAGGGTATATAAGACGGTAAAGAATGGATGAAAATAGTAGGGCAAGGGTATAGAAAGGGTAGGGCTAGGATGGGCAAGGTTAGGACAAAGGAATGGAAAGGATGTAGCGTAGACAAAGGTAGGGTAAGTGTAGATCAAGGGTAGGGCAATGGTTGGGCAGGGGTAACACAAGGGTATAGAAAGAGTACGGCAAGGACAAGGGCAATGCAAGAGATAGAGTAGATAAAGCAAGGGTAGGGTAGGATAAAGGTAGTGGTAGGAGTATTGAAAGTCCATTGCGATCGAATTATATTCCTTTTCAGAGTTTTTTTTTATTTGAGAAAATAAAATAAATAAATAAGCGAATAAATTATGTTTTGCAGCCGGCTGGACTAAAAAATTTGAATTTCTTTCAAAATTAAAATTTTTTTTTCAGAAATAATTTTTTTAAATTAAATTTTTTATTCAAATTAAAATTTTTTTTTCAAAATCAATTTTTTTTTAAAAATTAAACTTTATTGTTTAAATTAAAATTTTTTTCAAAATTTAATTTTTTTTTCCAAAATTAATTTTTTTTTTCAAAATTAATTTCAAAATTTCAAAAAATTTTAAAATTTAGTACCAGCTGGCTACAATATCCCTAAGTGCGACTAAAATATAAAAAAAATAATTTAAACGTAGCGTGATGCCCGCAACGCCAAGTAGATATGGAAGCCAATGGCAATAAAGAAGGTCCAGACTGTGAAAGCACTGATCACACTGATCCAGACCTTCGAAACACAGTGAGGATAGTGCTTTTTTGCTGCTGAAAATGGGAAAAGTTGTTACCGTACTCCACCCTATCTTACCCTACCCTAAATTACCTTACCTTACCCTACCCTTCCATACCCTACCCTAGTATGTTCTGTCTCCCCTAGCCACCCAACGTTACGATATCCTATTCTTCCTTACCCTACTTAAATCTACCACAAGTAGACTACTCTTACAGTATCTGACCCTATGTAAGCCTATCATTATCCTTTTACTGTCGTATTTTAACCCAACTCTAGCGCTACTATAGCTTAACATTACTACACCTTTATATGTTACCCTAATCTAGTCCTATCATAGCTCCACCCTACTACTACCCTACTGTATATAACCCTATCTAAACTTTTTTCTACCGTATCCTACCCCATATCTTATCCTAGCCCTAGTATTGGTTTACTGTAGAGTAGTCGTACTTTACTCTGGCACTTTTTTACCCTACCCTTACTCTTTCTAATGCATAATTTTACCTTGTTCTACCCTACCCTACCCTACCCTCCCCTACCCTGCCCTACCATAACCCAACTCTATTCTATTCTACTCTACCCTTGCCCAACCTGACCTCTACTTTTACCTTACCTTACCTTACCCTAACCCTCCTCTATCCCTAGAAAAAACCAATTCTTAACTCACCGTTCTCAACCTGCCGTTCCTTTGCCGATTGTCGTGCTTCGTCGCTGCAATTGGGGTCGTCCTTCTTGCCCAAACACAAATCCGCTTGAACTTCCATTTCGAACACCGACTTCTTCATTTGAAGCGATTTGTGATGATTGATCTTGACGTTCTCTTCCGGAACGTTACGTTTCCAACGACGAACGTTGTTGGAACGGCCATCGAAGAGGACGGAATTCTGGGGCGAAGTGATGATGTCTGGACAGAATGGGGGCTAAAATACGGATTCTTTAATTGTTTAAAAGGACAAACGAAAATTTTTTTATTTAGTATTAGACCGATTCAAAAGACTTGTCGTTTTTGTCCGCGCAAATGTAGGTAAATTGACGACAAGACTTTTTCAAGGCTTCTGTAAACAAAGTTTTTACAATTTTTCATTTCTCTAATAATGTGTGATGCTGTAAACAAAGATTTTGCAATTTCCAAAAAAAATTTTGTTACCTAAACAAGTCAAAAAAGTTTTGTCGTTTTTCGCCGTGCAAATGCAGGTAAATTAACGACAAAACTTTTTAAAACCCCTTGTAAAAAAAGTTTTTGATAATTTTATACTCTAAAAATCATTTCCAAAGCTTCTTCTTGTAAACAAAGTTCCTTCAACTCACAGTCATGATCTCATCACAGCTCTTGACGCCATTCTCATCTGGAATGTCCGAGCACACCTGCATCTCGCATCTGATGCTGAATCGTGTATGGTCGGGCAGTTTGAAGGCACTCAATGGAGCTCTGACAACATCATGATACGTGTCGTAATGAGGATGACCAAGAATGTTCAAATCGGTCGAACAGCCTTGGTTATCGATCACTGGATGTTCATCTCCACTGACCAGGTCACGAATGATACAGTTACGTACTAGAAGGCCGTAGGCGTCTGAAAATAGAGAGTGGAGTAGATTTTTTTGGTAAAAACATCCTTGTGAACATCAGAAAAAAAATTTACCCTCTCCAAAAATTTTTTTTTCAATTCAAAAAAATGTTTTACCACCCCCTTCCAAAAAAAATTTTACCACCCCCAAAAAAAATTATTATTCTCCTTACCAGACTCCGGATTCAACGAGAACTCCAATCTCAACGGTTGACCAACATCAACCCGATCAACTTCCGTACCATCACCTTCTTTATGATGCTCCAGGTCCGTGACAATCTTCATTTCACATTCAGGAACGGCCGCCTTCTGTTCCAGCTTTGTCGGCGTGAAATGCAGCTCCTCCAGAGCTTCGTCAATGCGCTTCGGAATCTCGGTCTTCTTGTACTTGATCCTTTGTTGAGCACATTGAGCAATGTAGCTTTGAATCGAGGTCTCACCGTTCGGTTGTTGGAACATCACGATGATTTGCATATGAGACGGGGCTTCAACGCTGCCGTTGAAATGACCAGGATTGGGTACACCGCATTCTTGGTAGGAGAAGGAGACATTGATGTTGAGGGCGTCTTTGAAGGTATGGACGCAAGACGGGACTCGCTTCTTGTCGTTGGCAAAGATCTCGCCGGTGAAGGGGAAGATCGTGTTCACGCCAAAGTCGATGCCGTTCTCTTCGCAAATCACTCTGGCTTTGCCTGAAATCAAATTTTTATTAGATGGCAAGAGGAATATTGAGTTTGCTAATGATTATCAAGGATAATATTGAGTTTTTTAATGGATGCCAAGGATAATATTGACTTTTAGGTAATAAAACATTATCTTTTACTGAGAAAACAAAAGTTCAATTAATGCCAAGGATAATATTGGCTTTTACATCACAGAATATTACTTATTTACTAATAAAATGATAAGTTAAAAATCAATTAATGAACACGATGGATAATATTGAATTTTAGGTAATAAAAACACAATTTTAAAAAATAAAAAAAAATTTTAAATCTGAACTGATAAAATTATAGTTAAGAAAACAAGAAATTCAACTAAAAATTGTTCCCGATGACGCATTTTCTAAATTCCGCCGACAATTTTCCAAAAAAAATATTTTTCCGTGGCCATGGATAATTTTATTCCTTTCTAATCAGTTTATTAATGTGTTCGTAACTGATTTATTCTCTATTATTTTATTTCTAATCAGTTTCTAATTCCTTTACTACTTAAGTTTTCAAAGGAATTTCGGCGCTCATGCAAAATCGTTCCCACAAAATCGAAGAATCGTTCCCCACTCATAAAGGCATAATCGTTCCCCACGGTGAGAATAAATAAACCTATGCAAATTTTTGCTTTACACATTTTTTCATTTTCATGATGGCTTTTCATTCTTTCTTTCAATTTGGTCTGGGATGGTCGAAAAATGGAACTCGGTACAAGAGGAGCAAGCATATACCAAATCACCGCAAAAAACTAGTACAGCATGGCACCAGTTTCTGCTATTCAGACCATAATAGACAACTCTCTTCTCCCACCGGCTTATTCGTGCCAGCAATGTTCGTCGATTATGAAGTTGTCAAAAAAGTCTAAACTGGCCGATAAATACATGGTAAGTTAGTTGTTTATATTTATCATATGTTGTTGTAGTGGAGATGTCGAAACGGAAGTACTGATTGCTGAACCCGCTCTATTCGTCATGGTACCTACTTTTCGAACTCTAACCTTTCGGTCTCGACACAGATGGCGTACAATGGGCTCAAGGATCCTGGTTTTGGCCACCGAACTTTACGCCATAAAACACAGTATTCGAGGTAATTGACTACGTATTCCAATTTACTATTATTCGCAAACGCTTTACTACCGTTCCCCAACGCTTTACTATCGTTCCCCAACGCTTTACTATCATTCCCCAACGCTTTACTATGACTCCCCAACGCTTTACTATCATTCCCCAACGCTTTAATATCGTTCCCCAACGCTTTACTACCGTTCCCCAACGCTTTACTATCGTTCCCCAACGCTTTACTACCGTTTCCCAACGCTTTACTATCGTTCCCCAACGCTTTACTATCGTTTCCCAACGCTTTACTATCGTTCCCCAACGCTTTACTACCGTTTCCCAACGCTTTACTATCGTTCCCCAACGCTTTACTATTGTTCCCCAACGCTTTACTATCGTTCCCCAACGCTTTACTACCGTTTCCCAACGCTTTACTATCGTTCCCCAACGCTTTACTATCGTTTCCCAACGCTTTACTATCGTTCCCCAACGCTTTACTATCGTTCCCCAACGCTTTACTATCGTTCCCCAACGCTTTACTACCGTTTCCCAACGCTTTACTATCGTTCCCCAACGCTTTACTATCGTTTCCCAACGCTTTACTATCGTTCCCCAACGCTTTACTATCGTTCCCCAACGCTTTACTATCGTTCCCCAACGCTTTACTACCGTTTCCCAACGCTTTACTATCGTTCCCCAACGCTTTACTATCGTTCACCAACGCTTTACTATCGTTCCCCAACGCTTTACTACCGTTCCCCAACGCTTTACTATCGTTCCCCAACGCTTTACTACCGTTCCCCAACGCTTTACTATCGTTCCCCAACGCTTTACTACCGTTCCCCAACGCTTTACTATTGTTCCTTAACCCTTTACTATCTATCTCTCCCCAACGCACCACCGCTCAAAGTTTATTTCTAAATTGAAGATGTTAAAATATAAAAATAAATAATTGGGGGAACGGTTATGCACCGTTGGGAACTATAATGCACTGGGTAACGATTCTTCATTGGCCCCGGAATTTCTTTTTCTTGAAGTTTCAAACATAAATTTTATATTATATTGTTGTAGCCTAATTTTCAAGCAGCGATGGCTGAAAATCAGCTCAAATACATCAAGGAGTTATAAAGGTAAGTTTTTTAATTTAAAGTTGTTTGATTTTTAGATTTTACAGTGAGCTTTGGCTTCTAATATTATTTTTAACGACTAAGTTGATTCTTTTTGGTGTAATAAGCACCTTTTTGGGCTCAAAAGATGCGCAATGATCTGGCTAAACTTTTAAAATAACTAAGATTTGCTGAAATGCCAAAACGTGTCTATTTTATTTCGATATTACCCATGACACCACATATTAGTGTGATGGATAATATACGAAACGTCAAGCTAAAAGTAAAACTTTAAAAACTGAATTTAACGAAGCAGAACAATACTAGAAATATAATACTAGGGAATAAACTAGTTTAGAACACATTAATATATCATATAGAAGCAAAGAATATTATCCATGAACCTCGAAAAATATTTCTTCTATAAATAAGGTTGGTCACAAAAAATGGAATTCGATATGATCTATAGGTTAATGTTAGCTTAATAATCCATCAACGTACCTCTAACTCTGTTTGGAACTTGTTCTTTCGGCCGTTCGCCAGGTGGAGGAACCGGCTGTACTGGAGGTCCGGCTGGAACTTGTGGTTGAGGTGGAGTCGGTCCTTGAGGTTGTTGTGGTTGTCCCGGAAGTTGTGGTTGGCCTGGAAGAGCAGGTTGTTGTGGTTGTCCAGGGAAGAACGGTGGACGTTGAGGTTGTCCTGGCTGTGAGGGTGATGGTCCGAATGGAGACGGGGTTGGTCCGAATGGTGATGGGGTTGGACCGAATGGTGAGGGCGTGGGTCCGAAAGGTGGTTGTGATGGTGAAGGTCCGAATGGAGACGGTGTTGGTACGAATGGAGAAGGTGTTGATCCGAGAGGCGGCTGAGATGGTGAAGGGCCAAATGGTGAAGGTCCGAATGGTGGTCGTTGTGGCTGGCCTGGGCTGGGTCCGAAGGGGTTTTGCGGTCCTTGTGGTCCACCGGGTTGCTGAGGCCTCTCTGGCTGTCCTGGGCTAGGTCCGAATGGATTCTGTGGTCCTTGAGGCCCTCCAGGTGGGCTAGGCCCGAATGGAGATGGAGTAGTGAACTCGCTACGCGGCGATGTAGGTATTAAGGTTGGGAAAGGAGATGGCGTAGTGAATCTAGGACCAGGAATAAATGGACTAGGTCTTTCAGGACCGTGTTGTGGCTGACCTGGAACTTGTGGTTGGCCTGGGATCTGAGGCTGTTGTGGACCGCCGGGTCCTTGAGGTTGTCCGGGTTGTTGTGGACCACCAGGACCTTGTGGTTGACCTGGTTGCTCAGGTTGGCCTGGAATCTGTGGCTGACCGGGGATTTGAGGCTGGCCAGGAATCTGGGGTTGACTTGGTTGCTGTGGACCTCCAGGACCTTGTGGCTGTCCTGGGATTTGTGGTTGGCCTGGGATCTGAGGCTGTTGTGGACCGCCGGGTCCCTGTGGCTGTCCAGGAATTTGGGGTTGTTGTGGTCCGCCTGGGCCTTGCGGCTGGCCTGGGATCTGAGGCTGACCAGGTTGCTGCGGGCCACCAGGACCTTGGGGTCGGCCGGGTTGCTGAGGCTGTCCGGGAATTTGTGGTTGACCTGGAATCTGAGGCTGCTGAGGGCCGCCTGGACCCTGGGGTTGGTTTGGTTGTTGAGGTTGTCCTGGAATTTGTGGCTGCTGAGGACCGCCAGGGCCTTGGGGTTGTTCTGGTCCACCTGGGCCTTGCGGTTGTCCCGGAAATTGTGGTTGGCCAGGTTGTTGTGGACCTCCAGGAACTTGTGGTTGACCTGGGATCTGAGGCTGTTGAGGACCGCCTGGACCGTGAGGTTGTTCAGGACCTTGTGGTTGTCCAGGAATCTGGGGTTGTCCTGGTTGTTGCGGGCCACCTGGGACTTGTGGTTGTCCGGGTTGCTGAGGTTGTCCAGGAATTTGAGGTTGACCTGGAATCTGGGGCTGCTGAGGGCCGCCGGGGCCTTGAGGTTGTCCAGGTTGCTGTGGACCACCGGGACCCTGTGGTTGGCCTGGAATCTGAGGCTGGCCGGGAATTTGAGGTTGCTGTGGCCCACCTGGGCCTTGTGGCTGTCCGGGTATCTGAGGCTGACCAGGCTGCTGCGGGCTACCAGGTCCCTGTGGTTGTCCGGGTTGCTCAGGTTGGCCTGGAATATGTGGTTGTTGAGGACCACCGGGCCCTGGAGGCTGTTGAGGTTGGCCTGGAAGTTGGGGTTGACCTGGTTGTTGTGGGCCTCCAGGACCTTGTGGTTGGCCTGGTATCTGAGGTTGTCCGGGAATTTGTGGTTGTTCTGGTCCACCTGGGCCTTGCGGTTGGCCGGGGCCTTGAGGTTGTCCAGGTTGCTGAGGACCGCCAGGACCTTGAGGTTGGCCTGGAATCTGAGGTTGTCCGGGAATTTGTGGTTGTTCTGGTCCACCTGGGCCTTGTGACTGTCCGGGGATCTGAGGCTGACCAGGTTGCTGTGGGCCTCCAGGTCCCTGTGTTAGTCCGGGTTGCTCAGGTTGGCCTGGAATATGAGGTTGTTGAGGACCGCCTGGGACTTGTGGCTGACCGGGTTGTTGAGGCTGTCCGGGAATTTGTGGTTGTTCTGGTCCACCGGGGCCTTGCGGTTGGCCTGGGATCTGAGGCTGACCGGGTTGCTGAGGTTGGCCAGGAATTTGAGGTTGTTGTGGACCTCCAGGACCTTGTGGTTGGCCGGGTATTTGTGGTTGTTGGGGACCACCTGGGACTTGAGGCTGACCTGGTTGCTGAGGTTGTCCGGGAATCTGAGGTTGGCCTGGGATTTGCGGCTGTTGAGGACCGCCGGGACCTTGTGGTTGACCAGGAATTTGCGGTTGTCCGGGTTGCTCGGGCTGTCTTGGAACTTGTGGTTGTCCAGGAATTTGAGGAGGAACTGGTGGTGCTTCAGGTCCTTGTGGGCCGCCCGGGAAACCAGGACAAGGTGATGGTGGTTGACCAGGGGGTCCTGGTTTCCATGCTTCTCCTGGACGGCACGATTCTGGTTTTTCCGGACGTTCAGGTCCTTGAGGACCTCCTGGGAAGCCTGGACACGGTGATGGAGGTTGACCTGGTAGTCCTGGTTTAAATGCTTCACCTGGCTTACATGATTCAGGTCCTTGTGGTTGTTCAGGTCCTTGAGGACTTCCTGGGAAGCCTGGACACGGTGATGGAGGTTGACCTGGTAGTCCTGGTTTAAATGCTTCTCCAGGTTGACATGATTCTGGTCCTTGTGGTTGTTGAGGTCCGGTTGGTCCTTGTGGGCCTCCTGGGAAGCCAGGGCATGGCGATGGTGGTTGTCCTGGTAGTCCTGGCTTAAACGCTTCTCCAGGTCGGCACGATTCTTGTCCTTGTGGCTGTTGAGGGCCTTGTGGTCCTCCAGGGAAACCCGGGCATGGCGATGGTGGTTGGCCAGGCAAACCAGGGCGGAATGCTTCACCTGGCTGACATGATTCTGGCCCTTGTTGTTGCTGAGGCCCGGTTGGTCCTTGTGGGCCGCCTGGGAAGCCAGGGCATGGAGATGGTGGTTGACCAGGTAGTCCTGGCTTAAACGCTTCTCCAGGTCGGCACGATTCTTGTCCTTGTGGCTGTTGAGGGCCTTGTGGTCCTCCAGGGAAACCCGGGCATGGCGATGGTGGTTGGCCAGGCAAACCAGGGCGGAATGCTTCACCTGGCTGACATGATTCTGGCCCTTGTTGTTGCTGAGGCCCGGTTGGTCCTTGTGGGCCGCCTGGGAAGCCAGGGCATGGCGATGGTGGTTGACCTGGTAGTCCTGGTTTAAATGCTTCTCCAGGTCGACAAGATTCTGGGCCTTGCGGCTGTTGAGGGCCTTGTGGTCCTCTAGGGAAACCCGGGCATGGTGATGGAGGTTGACCTGGTAGGCCAGGCTTAAATGCTTCTCCAGGTCGGCAAGATTCTGGTCCTTGTGGTTGTTGAGGTCCTCCGGGTCCGCTAGGGAATCCAGGGCTTTGTGGTCCTCCAGGTCCGCTTGGAAAGCCTGGTCCTTGCGGTTGTTGTGGTCCTCCAGGTCCACTTGGAAAGCCTGGTCCTTGTGGTCCTCCAGGTCCGCTAGGGAATCCGGGTCCTTGTGGTCCTCCGGGTCCGCTAGGGAATCCAGGGCCTTGTGGTCCTCCAGGTCCGCTTGGAAAGCCTGGTCCTTGCGGTTGTTGTGGTCCTCCAGGTCCACTTGGAAAGCCTGGTCCTTGTGGTCCTCCAGGTCCGCTAGGGAATCCGGGTCCTTGTGGTCCTCCGGGTCCGCTAGGGAATCCAGGGCCTTGTGGTTTTCCTGGTCCACTAGGAAAGCCTGGTCCTTGTGGTCCTCCAGGTCCGCTAGGGAATCCGGGTCTTTGTGGTCCTCCGGGTCCGCTAGGGAATCCAGGGCCTTGTGGCCCACCTGGGCCGCTAGGGAATCCAGGACCTTGTGGTCCTCCAGGTCCACTTGGAAAGCCTGGTCCTTGTGGTCCTCCGGGTCCGCTAGGGAATCCAGGGCCTTGTGGTCCTCCGGGTCCGCTAGGGAATCCAGGGCCTTGTGGTCCACCTGGGCCGCTAGGGAATCCAGGTCCTTGTGGTCCTCCGGGTCCGCTAGGGAATCCAGGGCCTTGTGGTCCACCTGGGCCGCTAGGGGAATCCAGGTCCTTGTGGTCCTCCGGGTCCGCTAGGGGAATCCAGGGCCTTCTGGTCCTCCGGGTCCGCTAGGGAATCCAGGGCCTTGTGGTCCACCTGGGCCGCTAGGGAATCCAGGTCCTTGTGGTCCTCCAGGTCCACTTGGAAATCCTGGTCCTTGAGGTCCACCAGGTCCACTTGGAAAGCCTGGTCCTTGTGGTCCTCCAGGTCCACTTGGGAATCCAGGGCCTTGAGGTCCTCCAGGTCCTTGTGGTTGTTGAGGTCCTCCAGGGCCTTGTGGTCTGCCAGGGCCGCTTGGGCCTTTTGGTCCACAGTTGATTCCTCCGCTTGGTCCTTCGTATTCATTTCCTTCTGGTGTGCATTCGTTTTCTGGACCGCTTGGACCATTTCCTGGGCCGTTTGGACCAGTTTCTTCGTAGTTTGCTGGTGGAACATTAGACGGAGGGAAGCGGTTTGGTAGTGGACCTAAAGTAAGGGTTTATATTTGATATAAACTGCTGTATTTGGCTTTGTTTGTACTACAAATTCTTTAAAAGCGACTCATATTGTCAAGCCCGGCTTTCCGTTAATCTTTTTAGCTTTTGACACTTCATAACGGCTATTGATTATTTTTGAATTTTTTTTTTATTTTAAAGTGTAAAAAATCCCGAGATGTTTTTGAATTCGAAAACAGTTGCTTATCTGATTTTGCTAAATCCACGATGATAATATCGCAGCGTGCCGGTTCTCGGATTCTTGAGTAAACAGCAGTAAATCGGTTTTACTGCGTCAGCAACAAACAAAAAATGAAATTTCACAAGAAAAATACTTTAAATGATGTAACACAATATAAAATAATAGCCAAACCCCCCCCTCCCCCCCCAATTCTCCTTCCCCCTATACTCCCCTCCCCCATCACACCACAAAATGTCTTACCATTAGGACCACTAGGATACGATGGCTTATGGTACTCATTGTCACTCTCATACGGCGATCTAGTAACCGGGTTCGGGGCCGGGTACTGAGTTACACTGCTTGGTGAAGAGCCAAAGTATTCGGCTCGAGGCTGTTGAATTTGTGGCTGATAAACCTGAGCCGGCTGGCGTGGACTACCCGAGACCAAGAAGACTGGTTTATGTTGGCCTTGTTGGTTTTGTGGTGAATATAGACCAACTTGTGGTGGGGCGGATGGAGTTTGATAGGGATTCGCGGCATGATCATAGCCTTGGGGACCTTGTACCACCGGTTGGGCGGGGTATTGTTGGCTGGCGCGGTAGGATTGTGGTGGTTTTTGGAAGCTGGGGGTCTGAAATGGATAGCTTATCAAAAAGTTTTTTTTATTAAAAGAATGTGTTAATAAGCATAGAATTTAAAAAAAAGTTTTAAAAGGGACATTTTATACGATGAAACGTGTTTTTCAAAAATTTTTTTATTTTTTTAAATTGCCAAAAAAAGTGCCATTTTAAATAAAACAAGCCAAAAGAATAAAGAAAAACAAAAATAACGACCTACAATAGCCTGTGGTGGTGGAGCATCGTAATGTTCAATTCCCTGTGGCGGCCTGTACTGAGCATTGATATCTCCATCAAGTCTCTGCGTGAACAAAGGTGCAGCTTGCGCGACTGGCGGTCGATTAGGCTTAGGACTAAGCTCCTTAAACCACAACGGACCTTCGTCTTCCCAAACTCCATCACGTAGCCGCATGGAAGGGTTGAATGGCAGAGAATGGCCATCTTCATGATGACTATTAGCTCGTACCACACGGTCGCTGACTGGAGGTTGTACCTGATCTGACATTCGAACCCAATCTTCGGCCATAGACGATGGTTGGGCTTGGTTAACAGGTGACATTACAAATGAATCCTGAGGCTTCTTTTGCCATTCTTGAGATGATATGGGTATGGCGAGGAGAAAGAGTATGGTCCAAAAGGACGAATGGCCTCGAGGCCCCATGATTAAGATTGTCACTGACCTTATTGATGGTTTATGGCCATAAAATTGAGGCAGGGGTAAAAAATGAACCTTGCTTGGGGGCTGGAAATGAAAAATGTAACAAGTAAGAAAAATTTTAAAAGGCAGGGTAAAATACAGAAACTAAACGTATGCTTCGAAATGTTGGATAAAATGGAAAATACTGTAAAATAAGACTAATTGGAAGGCCAAGAACTAGGGATGATGCTATGACCACAGTTACTGTAACAACGAAAAATCAAAAAATATTTGGCTAAACTCAATTTTTGCTTTCACTGTATGATACTGTGACACAAAAAAGGTTTTCTCTGTTACCTATAACAAGAGTAAGCAAATTAGTTATAGGTTTAAGGATCGAAAAAAGTTTTGTCGTTTTTTACCGTGTAAAACATAATAAACCTGCGACAATACTTTTTTAACACTGGTATTTGCAACTATAATGTCAAACAGTTACTATATTCTACTCTATTCTAATTTTTTCTACCCCACCCTTCCATACTTTACCCTACCCTGCTCTACTCTGCCCTAATTTTCCATGCTCTACCCTATTATGCTTTGACCTGTCCTTTCCAAACTTACTTTACCTTGTTGTGATTTACCTTTCCTACTGCTATGTTGTTCAAATAATTCTCAAATTTTCAGTGTTAAGGGGCACTGAATTATTTGAAGAAACTAATATATTTTACCATAGCCTACTCTATTCTGTGCAACTGAAACCTAATTTACACTACCTTGCTCTACCCTATCCTGCCACACACTACTCTACTATATCCTACCCTACCCCATCTCACCCTATCCTGTCTTACCATATCCCACTATATCCTACCCCATCCCACTCTATCCTACCCTACCGAACCTCGCCATACCCTATCCCTTAACAGAACACCTTGCACGTGTACCATAATCCGTTCCGTATGAAACATATTAACCACGGAACGAGTCCCCACTGACCAATAACGCATCCACGCCCTTCTCGACTCTCTCTGGAAGGCTGGTGTGTTTTTTGGGCAGATCTTTATTTCCGTTCCATCGCCTGCGGCGCGGCGAAAGCCGGCCGCGATAACAATCGGCCCGATTCTCGACTGAATTCCAAAGTTTTTTTTCCGAAAACCTCTTCCATGTAGCGACAAGTTGGCAGCTAATTAATGACACCACGGAGATTACATTCACCTTCTAGCATAATATTTTTTCTATTTTTTTTGAAAAAAAAAATTAGAAATTTTAGAAAAATGGAATTTTGGATTGGATGAAGTAGAGAAAAAAAGAAAGGTATTTAATGAATTTGAATAGTTTTTAAAATGATATAGTAGTTTACTTGAAAATTATGAATTTCCTTGGCTAGGGCTAGTTTACGACTAGAGGTGGGGATAATTCTACGGCTGGGACTAAAGCTAGGGTCAGGAATAACTTGAAAGCTAAAGTGATTAGATATAATTCTAAGCGTAGAGCTACGTCTAAGTCTAGAACTAGAGCTCAGGTTAGATCTAGGGCTAAAACAAGTGATGAAAAAAGGGTTAGGACTAGGAATAAGCCTAAGGTTCGAAATCAGGTTAGAGCTAGGGCTAAAGCTAGGGATAGGGATAAGGCTAGGACTAAGCATAAGTGTAAGGCTAGAACAGTGGCTAGCACTAAAGCTAGGACTAAGGCTTAGTCCAACACTAAAGGTAGGTATTGACACGGAGTTAAATTTTCTTGTTCAGAGAAGGGGGGGGGGGGGGAATAAAATTAAAAAAAAATTTTTTTACGTTTTGGCTTTAATCTTGCTTTCTTTAAACATTAACACAAGATGTACTAGAAAAGGTAAATACGTATAAATATTAACACAAGAATAAAACAATAAAATAAAAGACAACAAACAAAATAAAACACTTAAAATAGGATAAAATTTTTAGTTTTCTTGGTGTTTTGTCAAAGAGTAGGGTAGGAATATAATAGGGTAGGGTAAGGTAAAGCAGGATAAACCAGGTGTATCAATTTTGGTTTATGATAAAAAATCACACCGTTTAGCCCGAATCCAGCCAAAACTATCGCTAATTTTCTATACTCTTTGGTAGCCAAGGTTTCAGTCTTTACAAAATAAAAAATTTTAAATAATTTAACCGCAACATAGAGAAAACGACCGGTAAAGTTTTGTAACAGAACTTTTGGCGCATCTTTGTAACAGAACTTTTGGCGCAGGTAATTTGATATTTTATTTGTATATGTTCATGATCTGGGTTTAAATTTTTAAAAATTTTAAAAATAAGTTATTAAAAATTTTTAAAAAAAATTTTATATTTTCCAATTCCAAAATTTGTAGTACGATACCTTCAAACCTTGATTGTTTGTGCCATATGTGAATGTGTTTTACCTCGTAAAATGATGTGAACAAAACAATAAAACGACAGTTGGTTTGAGATCAACAAAATCTGTTTATTTCGAGTATTCGATTTCTCGAAAGAACGGCCCTAAAGCTTTGTTTGTTACCTACCGGTTTCGACTTGTTTTCCTGACTCATTATCAACGTTTCTTCAAAATAGTGGCAGTATATAAGGTGATGTGTTAGGTGAAGGGCATGTCACTTTGGTTAGGAAGGAAAGTAAAAATTTCAAATGGAGGAGGGGGGGGGGAGGGGGTGGAAAAAAGTGGAAAATTTGAAAATTTCAAGTACTTATGGTTTAGGCTTAGACTTGAACTTATGCTTAGGGACAAACTTAGGTTTCGATTTAGGTTCGGGCTTGAAGTTAGGATTTGCTTAGGCTAAAGTTAAGGGTATGGTTAAGGCTAACAAGTTGTAGGCATCAGTTAGCTTTAAACTTACAAGCTAAGGCTATGGCTATGGCTATGGCTAAGGCTATGGCTAAGGCTATGGCTAAGGCTATGGCTAAGGCTATGGCTAAGGCTATGGCTTAGGCTAGGGCTTAGGCTAGGGCTTAGGCTAGGGCTAGGAGTTACGACTAGGTCTTAACCAAGGGCTAGGACTAAAACTAGGGCTGAGGATGATGACGTTTTGAAAGATTTGTTTACAGTTGTATTAAGGTTAATTTGGTGTTGTTTTAGATAAAAATTTTTATCATTTGACAGTTTATCACAAACTTCCTTTTATGACTCAAACATTGTAAATAACAGTTCTTCGCTCACTGCTCTTTTACATTGTTTTATAAATTTTTCTTTTATATTACTTTAATTTTTTTAGAGAAATAAACAATGCGTGGAGGACTTTTGAGAAGCCATGGAGGCCCTGGGGCTATTTTGGTGGAAGATGTACCTACACCACCTTTGGGGGAGAATCAGGTGGGTTTAAACTGCTCTACCCTACCCTACCCTACCCTACTCTACGCTACCCTACCCTACCCTACCCTACCCTAATTTACCCTACCCTACCCTATTCTACCCTATCCTACCTTACCCTACCCTTGTATTTTTAGGTATTGATCAAAGTCAAGGCTTCATCACTGAACCGCATTGATGCTTTGATCCGTGCTGGCCAAGTACCCAATCCTCCGCAACTTCCCCTAGTGCTGGGAAGAGATGGTGCTGGTGTTGTTGAGCAAGTAAGTACTTGTATATGTAAACATAGGTTTTTGTATAATATTTTAAGTATGAATGCTTGAAATTAACCTCAATGTTTACTTTTTATGTTTCAGGTCAGCGAAAACGTGTTCAACTTCCACCCTGGAGATCGTGTGTTCTTTGTATCGAGCAGAAATGGAGCTAATGCTGACTATGTTGTAGTTGATCCTAACTTTGTTTTCCCATTGCCATCAAGTAAGCTTTACTACCCTCTATGCGTACCTTTATCCCTACCCCTAACCCTACCTTTCCTCCTATCCCTACCCCTACCCTTACTCCTACCCTTACCCCTACCCCCACCCCTACCCCTCTCAACCCGATTTACCACACCCTTTTTAGGAATCTCCTTCGCCCAAGGTGCCACCCTAGGTGTAGCCTACTTTGCCGCCTACCGTGCCCTCTTCATGAAGGCCGGAGCTCAAGCTGGTCAGTCCATCTTCATCCACGGCGTCTCAGGTGGAGTCGGATTGGCTGCGGCTGAGCTAGCCAAAGTTCATGGCCTGCGAGTGTTTGGTACGGCTGGTACACCTGAAGGAGAACAGTTGGCCAAGAAGTTTTGTGAAAAGGTCTGGAATCACAAAGATGCGTCGTATGTTGAAACTGTCAAGAGTGAATTTTCACAAGGTATGGGTTTTTTAAAATTTTAGGGTAGGTAAGGGTAGGGTATGGTAGGGTAGGGTAGCTAAGGTATATTAAGGTAGGGCTTAATAAAATAAAAAAAAATTTTTAACGTTTTTGTAAACAAAGTTCCTTCAGGCTTCGACGTGATTCTAGAAATGGTAGCTCACGTAAACTTGGCCAATGATTTGGAATTGGCCGCACGGAACGGCCGAGTCGTGATCGTTGGGAATAGTGGAAACATCGAAATCAATCCAGATCAAGCCATCGGCAAAGAAGCCTCGATCGTTGGTCTTTACGCTGATGACACTAATGCTCACGTAAGTGAAGAAATTTTATTTACAATTGTTTTGAATTTGAAAAAACGCAAAAATTTTATTTACAGTTTTTTTGAATTTGAAAAAACGCAAGAACTTTCTTTACAACCTCATTTTAGGACTATCAAAGAATCGCCGAACGTCTGATTGGTCTACTTGAAGGTGGTCACATCACTCCAATAGTTGGTCGCAAGTTCCAACTCGAACATCTTCCTGATGCTCATAATCAACTTGAATCACCTGGTGCAACTGGCAAAATCGTCCTGATTCATGATCAAGATGCCGAAGAAGGTGCTCAAGGCCAGTCTGGACAAGGTGAAGGAGTTCCAGAAGGACATGGACTTCCAGAAGGACAAGCAGCTCCAGAAGGACAAGGTGAAGCTGGAGGACAAGGACTTCCAGAAGGTCAGGGACCACCTCAAGGTGAACAAGCCCCAGAAGGACAAGCAGTCCCAGAAGGCGGAGAAACGGTACCAGAAGGAGTTCAACAAGCACCAACAGACCCTTCAGCAGCACAAGAAGGACAAGAAGTACCAGAAGGAGCACCAGCAGAACCTCAACCAGCTCCAGAAGGCCAAGACGCTCCAACTCAAGACCAACCAGCCGCTCCAGAAGAAGACAAGCCAATCCCAGCTCCAGAAGCTCCGACTGAACCTCAACCACAAGAAGAATCTGGAGACTTGACTTTTGACGATGTTACTCATGCCGGCGACGCAAACGAAGTCAAAGACAGCTGAAAAGCTTGATAATTTATCCAATAACAACATGTTCAATATGCTTATAATACAATATTTGCTAGACAAAGATGAACTCAATAATAAACAAACATTATACACGTATTTCTTTCAATCAAGTCAGTAAAAAACATTTACAATAACATAACATCGCAAATTGTTCGTTTCCCACCACGAAAACAATCATTAGCCAAAATTATTTGGCGTTCCGCTTTACATTATTATTCCTAGGTGTCCTGAAAAGAAAACGAATAAAAGCCAGAAGAATAAAGCGAAAAATTGTTTTTTAAGAAAATTTCGACCGCAGGCTTTATTGCGTATTTTATAATCTAATTTATTACTGTTTCATCTATTGAAACGATATAGGACAATGTCCACTCCAAAAGCAGCGGTCACTGGTTGGCCTTCGACTAAAATTGATAACGGAAATGGCTCAAATGGGACTTCTACTACTTATCTATCGAGCAAAAATGGTGAAAAGGCCATTTGCAAGAACGTTCGACTGTAAGTATGATATTTCTTTGCTTTTTTGTGATTTAGGCTTCATTTGACTTGATTATTGAATTTATAAAACTTGTTTTTTAAATTTAAAATAACAATCCTTTATAATTTAGATACCCATTGACAAACTACACATTTGGAACAAAGGAACCACAGTCAGAACGAGACAATTCTGTTCAGGCGAGGTTTCAAAGGATGCGAGAGGAGTATGATAAGATTGGGATGCGGAGATCGGTCGATGCTGTCTTGTTAGTACACGAACACAACTTACCACATGTTTTGTTGTTGCAAATTGGCAGTACCTTCTTTAAACTGTAAGTTTTAAGTTAGTTTTTGCTGTTTAGAAATATTTTGATCAAAATTATATTACACTTGGTATTTCAGACCTGGAGGAGAGTTGAGAGTCGATGAAGATGAAGTAGAAGGCATGAAACGGATTCTGACAGAGACTTTAGGTAAAGACGAAACTTCTGCGTCGCAATGGGTCATTGAGGATGTCGTTGCGACTTGGTGGAGACCAAACTTTGATCCACCTAGGGTAAGATATGATGGCTTTGGAATTTTGAGTGTATTTAGTTTAAAAATTGTTCTTTCTGGGTTCGAAAGAAAGTAATGACCCTGTCTTTAGTATCCGTACATTCCTGCTCATGTTACAAAGCCGAAAGAAATTACAAAATTGTTTTTGGTTCAACTACCCGAGAAAGGTAAGTACTACAACATGAAATTTGATTGCTTAGCATTCTTTTTACTCTTCTTTTTGTTATAACTAATACTACTCACTTTTACGTATTTTACAACTTTTAAGAGTCATTTTGTTCTACATTTCAGCCTTGTTTGCCGTTCCCAAGAACTTTAAACTTGTCGCAGCACCACTTTTCGAACTTTTTGACAATTCCACTGGTTACGGATCGTTGATCTCATCACTCCCGGTTAATCTAAGCAGATTCAGCTTTGACTACTCGAAACCTCTTTGATCTTCATCATAGTTCTCACCTTTTACGAGTTGTTTTATCTCGATGCATTAATGTTATTAATTATAAAGTGTATAGCCACTGGACTCATTGGATTTTTATTGGTTTGCAAAGGTTTTTAGCACTTTGAGGTATATTTTTATGGTAAAGGATATAATTGACGTTTTTTTGATGTTTAAGGGGTATTAAACAATCATTAAGAGGTTTTTATGGTGTAATTTTTAAGAGCAGTAATGATTTAATGTTTAAAACAGGTTATTTTTCTCCAAAAACCCCTAATTTTGATGTTTGATGATAACCTAACATAGCAAAGAAAACAATATCTGAAATTTGGCGCGATCAACTTGTGTGTTCTTTAAACGAAACGTCCAGACTCTCGAGCAATTGTCTGTATTTTTTGTTTTTTCCCGTTGAACTTCTTTAATTTCGGAGTAATATCCGTGATTGTTTACTTCAAAACCTAGGCTTAAAATTAATATTTTCAAGCCTAAAATACTTAAAACCTTAATTTGTCAAAAATATTTTATGTTTTTCACTCAAATTCTATTCACTTACCCGATTTTCTAGCCATTCGCACGCATTTCCCTTATCAAATCCATCAATTTTCGTCTAGTGTAATATTTTCAACAAACATTTCTAACAAAATTCGCTTTCAGAATGTCGAAAATTGAATAGATTTCAATTAAAACTTGTCTCAACTTTCTCAGGGAACAGCAAACTTATCAAAATTAGCGGCCAACACCTCGAATTCCTTCATTTTTTACATTCAAATGAGCGAAAATGGCGAGAAAAAAGAAATTTCGGCCAAAAGCAATGTGACATCGAAATGGAAACAGGTATTACCGGCGTTGGCAGCTGGTGGAATTGCTGGAGCTGTGGCTAAAACAACGATAGCACCGTTGGATCGGACTAAAATTTATTTTCAAGGTAACATTTTGAGATTTTTTGTTCGAATTTTAGGTGCCAATTAGAAATGAAGGAAACGGCTAGCTAAAACTATAAGTTACAACTGAGTGAGACTAAAATAGGAGTAGAAGAATGTTTTAATTGCTTTAAGTTTAGTTTGAAAGTAAACGAACAGAAACTTGGCTTGTTCTGAGGGTTTTCCTATAAAAATATATATTTTTAGTAACATCAGAACGCCGTTATCACTTGAGATCAGCTATGAAGTTTGTGAAAGTCAGTTATCAACAGGAAGGTTTCTGGTCGTTGTTCCGTGGAAATTCGGCTACAATGGCACGTGTTATACCATTCGCATCGATACAGTTTGCTTCATACGAACAGTATAGAAATGTTTTACATGTTGATGAAGGAGGGTAAGGTTTTAAACGTATTTTTGTGGGTTTTAAATATCCACATGAATTAAAAAACCATATAGCTACTGCAATATGGTTTTTTAAACGTGTTTTGATATATTTTGATGTTGTACGTTAGTAAGTTAATATTTTTAGGAAACGAACACCCTTTCGACGATATTGCGCAGGTTCTTTGGCAGGAATCACGGCCACAGCGATTACATATCCGCTAGACACGGCGAAAGCAAGGTTATCAGTCTCATCCAAGAAGGAATATCCCAATTTAAGGGCGGTTTTTAAGTACGAATATCAGAAAAATGGCTTGAAAAACTTTTATCGAGGCTTATGGCCAACACTTATGGGTGTCATTCCATATGCGGGTTCAGGATTCTTTGTTAACAGCAGCTTGAAGTTATGGTATAGAGGTGTGGTTTTTGATTTTTTTTTTAAATTTTGGGTAAATTTGATGGTGAACATAGTTGGTAGTATTTAAAGAGGATTGTAATGTGCATTTTTTTTTCAAATCTTGAAGCATTTTGGCATTTTTTTTAAGATATGGCCAAATTTGTTCAGCTACATCAAGGTGATCGTCTAAAATCCGAAATTTTAGAAAAGTTCAAAAAGCGACCCCCACTAGGCTACGAATTAGTCTTTGGAGCAACGGCAGGTATTGTAGGCCAAGTCACGTCATATCCATTGGACATTGTGCGTCGAAGAATGCAAACAGGTAAAGTACCAGAAGGCCAAGGCGTCTGGAAGACCTTGTACACGATTGGCAAGACGGAAGGTATTCGAAAAGGATGGTACAAAGGACTCAGTATGAACTGGATTAAAGGACCGATTGCTGCTGGATTGGCCTTCACCGTGAACGACCGGTTGAAACCGCTGTTCTTGAAATGGGCCGCCTAAAGGAGTTTTTATCGAAAATTTTGAGATTTTAATGAACGGTTTATTAGAAATTTTGAAGAAAGTTTTGAAATTTCTAAAAAATCTTGTTTTACTTTGTTGTCTTGCCTAAATATTACTAAACATACTCAATTTCATGTTGTCATTGATATTAGTAGATTTTATAAAAAAATTGAATTTTAAATAGATCTTTAACATTTAATCACCGTTTTTAGCTCATGTCTAATTAATACTGACATTTAAAAACAGATTTTTTATATTTATAACTACTAGTCTAACTGTTATATGTTTTTTTTATCTTTTGTCATGGATAATATCCCGTTGCCTTCATAACCAGGTTGTTGTACAAAATAACTAAAAAACCTTCCGGGTACAGTACTTAAATGCCATATGGAATGCAGTAGCTCGATTTTTTCTTGTTTTGTCAGTTGGTTTTAACTTAACATTGTTTTTGATTGGAGCAAGCTAAAATATGTTGTTTGCACGGTGCAAAATGACTTGTGACAAGAAATTTTCTGACAAGATCGCTACTGTATTTATTTCGTTGTTTGTGCCTATAATTCAATGTAAAATTGCCTCAGAATAAACTTTTATCGCATATTGAACTTGATTATTCATCATTTATCATGGTTAATATACCATTATTATTGGTTTTAATATTTCTGTAAATTTAATGGATTTTTTTGGAAAATTGGCATTACAAACGGTTTTCAGGGCTCAAGAGGTATTGTTCGTGTACTGGTTATCTACTTATTCACGAAATTGGCTGTATATTGTGTCAATGCATCTACTATAACATTGATTTTTATACGAATTTTTAATTTTGAAGAGTTTCAAGTACAAAGGAAATTTATATCTGTAAGTTTTTCTTGTTTTTGTGTTGGATTTTTAGGTAACGAGAAGGAAAGTTTGATGTAACAGAAGTTATTGCCGTTTCAAGCTGTGTAAAGAAAGTTCTTGCTATTTCTAGCTTTGTAAAGAAAGTTATTGCGAGTTACAGCTTTCTAAAAAAAGTTATTGGCATTTGAAGCTCTGAAAAGAAATGTCTTGTCATTGTGTTGTGTAAAGAAAGTTCTTGCCATTCTTGTAAAGAAAGCTTTGTAAAGAAAGTTCTTGCTGTTTTTCCTTATATAAGTCGGCATAAGAAAATTTACCAATTTTTTTGTTGAAAAAACTTTAAAAAAAACTTAAAAACATCCCTTTCAGGACATTCTCCATAGGGTGGTAATGTCAGTAAGAACGAAACAATGTCAATATCTAGTCCATCAACTAGTCAACAACCTCTACCTCTAATACGAACAGCTTATTCGGAAGGCAAAGAGAAGAAGAAGCAGCTTCCACGATGGCGGAAAGTCTTACCCTCTCTGGCTTCGGGAGCCGTGGCCGGAGCTCTGGCCAAGACCACGATAGCACCGTTAGATCGGACCAAGATCAACTTTCAAGGTACGGTATTTTATGAATTTGACTTTTTTATGACATTTAATCTCTCTAACACCCCAAATTACAGTCTCCAACACCCGACAATACTCGGTACGAGAAGCAATACGATTCGTGATATCCACCTACAAACAACACGGCTTCTTGGCCATGTATCGAGGCAATTCGGCCACAATGGCTCGAGTCGTACCATATGCTGCTATTCAATTCGCTGCTCATGAAGAATATAAACGACTGTTACGAGTCGATCGAGATGGCAAACCAACTCCAGGCCGACGATATGTGAGCGGATCATTGGCTGCCATCACCTCGACTACCTTAACATACCCATTGGACACGGCCAAAGCCTGTCTCTCGGTTTCGGATAAGAACACTTACCCCAACTTGAGGTCAGTGTTTAGGATCGAGTACAAAAAGCAGGGATTTTGGGTGTTCTACAGAGGAATTGGACCAACGTTACTTGGGGTAATACCGTATGCCGGTAGCAGCTTCTTTACCTATGAAACATTGAAGTTGTTTTATAAAGGTAAGTAATAGCTTATTAAGTATAGACATGTAGAAGTCAAGGATGTTGCTATAAATTTTTTCTTTTTGACAAAAAAAATTTTTTTGAAAAATTAAAAAAACTGGAAATTTTTTTAAAAGTGAATGAAAAACACGAATAGGTATAAATAATCTTGTTTTTTGTAATTTTATTATTTTTTCACTAAAAAAAGTAAAAACCATAAAAAGCTTTTAAAAAAACTGCACTGTGCAAGTTGTAAACAAAATTTTGCTAATATCTTGAGAATTTCAAAGTTTCAAAAAAATTTTGGTATTACATTTTAGTAGGCGTACTATATAGGCTCAAAAAATGAGTTTTCAGACTTTTTGCACTTTTGGTTTTAAAGTTATGACGAAAAATTGCTGCAACGATTGCACTGTGCAGATTTTTTAAAATTGAGTTTGATAAAACTTGAAATATTGAAATTTATAGAAGAGAAATGGATTGTTTATATTAAAGAGAATATCAAATTTAGTTTAAAAGTGAATTTTGAAGTACTTTGAATTAACACTTTTTGAGATATAACAAAAATTTGAATTTGAAGGTTGCACCGTGCAAACGGTTTTTGGAATTTTTTAAAATGCTTTGAAATTTAAACTTTTTTTGAAAAGTAAGCTAGGACAGGGTAAGAAGGATTTGAATTAGTTTCTAAAAATGAAATTTGAGGTGTTTTGGATTGACAGATTTCGAGGTATAACAATATGTTGAGGTAGATGTTGCACCGTGCAATTTTCAAAAGTTTTTTGAATTTTTTTGAAATTTAAAAAGGGAAAAGATGTTTGTTGATAATTTTTAAAAATAGGTAGGAATTCTTTTATATATAGTTTTCTCAAATTTAAAAAAATTTCAGAAAAGTTGAATTCCAAGCCAGGACCAATCGTCAGCATGTTAATGGGCTCTTTTGCCGGCCTAGTAGGTCAATCTTCATCATACCCACTGGATATTGTAAGGCGAAGAATGCAAACAGGCAGAGTACCAGCTAGCCAAGGCGTGATACGAACCCTGATGACAATATACAAGGAAGAAGGAATAGTAAGAGGATGGTACAAGGGGCTGAGTATGAACTGGATTAAAGGCCCTATAGCTGTTGGTATCACCTTCACAACGTACGATCATGTCGTGGTCCTCTTTCGCCGTCTTTTTCTATAATAAATTAGGAGTTAGGCTAGTTATGGACGTCTTTTAGGCCTAGAATTTGATTAAAAAGGAAGCTTAAGGTAATATAAGAGAAGGCTTTGGAAAATGATGTCATTTAATATGATATAGGGGTAAATATGGTATTATATTGTCTTAAATGAAAGTCAATCATTATATTGTTGTTAGATTTTTACTTTATTTTTTTAATTTCAAAAATTTTTGAAAAAATTTAATATTTTTTAAAAATCTTAGGCTTAAAATCAAGAATTTTTGAGATTTTAAAAATATTTTCAATCAACTCTTCTTGCCATTTCATATCACAATAGGTTTCAACGCCTCAAGTTCAGGTTTTCATACTGGTTTCACATTTGGCGACAGGTTATACGAAGTACTTTGATAAAGCATGTCAGGTGTCGGATTGTATACTATAATATATCTATATATGTTGTTAAGTTAATAAAGATTGTTTTGTTGGAAAGAGCATATCATAATTGATATTTACAGTGGTTTTCAACCAGTTTTTACCTTTTCTTTGAATATTTATATCAAGTTTTATGTTATGTTGTAGTAGGTTGCAGTTTTTTTTAATTTTGGTATATTTTTAGAATTTTTTGTAAGTTTTTATTAATTTGTTGGAAACAGCATATCATAATTGATAGTTAAATTAACTTACCGCTCGTTGTTACCTTTTTTTTGAATATTAATGTCAAGTTTGATATTATATTATAGTTGGTGTCAGTTTTTTGGAATTTTGGTTGATTCTTAGAAATTTTTTATGGAAATATTAATTTTAAGACTTTGTAGGCACAATGCTGGGTGTTTCGACCATTGGCCAGCTGTTGAAAAGCCGTGCTCCGACCACCGTGACCGCGTTACGATGGAATTGTCCATGGCACAGGAATAACTGGCGTCCGCACATTTTCCCCTTCAGAATGAAGGAACGACTGGAAAGAGGTAGGTGATATTGGTGTTATTTTGGAGCAGAGAGAATGGTCGATAATATAGAAGGGTGTTTTTGAGGTTATAAAGTGTTGCCTTAAAGGTATAGACAAAAGTTTGCGGAATTTTGGGGAAAATTTAATGTTTTTTGAGGAAAATTGATCAATATTGATAGAAATCTTTTAAAGCTGGGTCTGGAATTAAAATTAAAACGTGGTGCGGTATTAATGTTACCTTTTAAAGGTCATACCGCCTTGAAAAAACTTTATTTTGGCTAAGAAAACATTAAAAACTCGGCCGAACTTTAATTTCTCTCTTTTTTCGTCAAAAAAATAAAGAAAAATGGATTTTTTACCTAATTTTCAAGCCGTTTTTAAAATATTTTTGATCATAAAACTATCCTTGATGATTTAAGGTAGTCTGGAAGCCCGTTTAAGCACACCCGGAGGCCGTTCGATGGTGATGCGCCGTGTTCTCCGTGAACAACCCTTCCTCGGCTGGAACCACGACAATTACCCAAAGAAGCAACGACTTTCCTACCCATTATAACTCAAGTTTAGGTCTCATTTCTTGTTCTTGTTATGTTTACAATAAAGGTTGATCATTTTCCGGTAATTTTTTTGCCGTTTGAGGGAGTTCTTGGAAATGTTGACGAAATGTCAAAAATTTTATCGGAATTTCTAAAACTTATTAGAAAGCTGCCAAATTTAACATATATGACATTTTAAAAAATATATACCATTAAAAATGTCAAAAAAATAAAACACAACACAGTAAAAGATTTTATTTATTACGACCCAGCTCCTCCTCATGGTTAATATAATATTTTGCCATTTCGTGTAACGAGACCAAGACCTCTTTGCCGGTTGGGACAATTTGGTCCGGAGGCCAAGCCATCGACGCCTTGAACACGGATTCGGTCATATTGGCTTCGGCACTGAACGGTCTCACCTCCACCGACATTGATATTGGCACTCCTTGGCTGTAGTAGTAGTCCATTGATGTGCCTGCGGTTATATCTAAAGATATTGAGGTAGATGCGTATATGTTATATTAAGAAGATATCGGGGCGTATTGTGACCAAGTTTTAGGCCAGTTGGTTGGTTTTGAAGCGAGTTATAGCTAAATAAAGTCTAAATTGACCTTATTTTAGGCGATTTTAGCCCTCTTTTCAGCTTTAAAACCCATTTTTACTACGTTATAAAGCAAAAGAACGTTAAAGCAATATAAAAACATACAGAGTAGATCCGGAGGAGTTCCACAGCTGTAAGTATTTCCATTTGACATCTTTATCCTTTTCACAATATTGGCACAAACCTCCTTTAGATACCTATATTCTTCTGGTTTGCTTTTCGTATATCCCCAGGGCATTAGGAAGGCTTGCATGAAGGCATGTATGTCCAGGTAGATGGCATGATTTTTTATTGTGTTATTGATAAAGTTAACGATTCCTTTTGTTTCTACTTCGCTAAATGGCTCCGGTCCGGCGTAGACCTCGTCGTAGGGTAGGTTTGACTCGGGTTCTTCTAAAATGAGGTCACTTTAGGTCTTTACAACTTAAGAAAATTGTATAATGTTATTTTTAAGACCACTAAGGTTAACTATAACTTGTTTTATATCAATATTTTTTAAAAAAATTTTGATAAATGAGCCCCACCACGAAAACAAGAAAATTTCTGAAGGCTCGTAAAGTCATAGTGAACTTCAAAATGAAGTAACTGAAATGCTTAATAATTGCTTTTCAGATTTCTCTATAGTAAGAGTTAGTTTAAAACATAAATTTTGAGTCCCAACACGAAAACAAGAAAATTTCCAAAGCTCGTAAAACCTTAGTAAATGTTAAAATATAGTAAACGTCATGTTTAAAAATTGCTTTTTCGTTTTTTCGTTTAATCAGGTTAATCTTTAAATACCTAAATTTTTGCGTCCCACCACGAAAACATGAAATTTTTCAAAAACAGCTTAAATCAATTTGAAATGACAAAATATGATAAAACATACCTCCCCAATGATATCCAAAGTTTCTGTTCATGTCCACACCAACTCCACCCAGATTTATCGACCGAGTTTTTCGCCACAGGCGATTCTGAAATTTTTGATTTATAAAAATGCAAGAACTTTCTTTACAAGACAGAAAATGGCAAGAATTGTTTTTGTAAAGCATATAACGGCATAAACTTCATTTACAAATCACAAAATGACAATAATTTTCATTACAGAACTCAAAATGTCAATCATCGTATACTCGCAGGATGCACAATGAAATCTTTAGCTTTTTTATGTTAAAAATTGTTAAAAGATGTTTAAAATGTTCTTTAAATATTTTCCTGCCATTCTAAAATTCAACTTTACCTTATTGATGGTATGAACATAGCCATCGGGATTACCGACCGGTATGATATAACAGTCAAAGTGTTGTAACATCCAGTGTATTGTCTTATTTTGTCGATTGTGGACCAGCTCATTCAGAATGTACAGAGCTGTAGCATGGCCAAGCCATTCCCTTGCATGTAAGCCAGATACCACCACTACCGAGGGCTTTACTGTATCTTGAGTTAGGTTTTGTGATACCTAAAATCATATTTTTAGATTAAGCTAGGCTAGGCTAAGCTAGAATACTCTACTCTATCCTATTTTATCGTACCCTACCCTACCCTACCCTACCCTACCCTACCCTACCCTACCCTACCCTACCCTACCCTACCCTACCCTACCCTACCCTACCCTACCCTACCCTACCCTACCCTACCCTACCCTACCCTACCCTACCCTACCCTACCCTACCCTACCCTACCCTACCCTACCCTACCCTACCTTACCCTACCCTACTCTACTCTACCCTACCTTACCCTACCCTACCATACCCTACCATACCCTACCCTTCTTTCCAAAAGTATACTGTATATGACCCTACCTTAATACCGTACACCGTCCTATTCTCGTAAGTAGCTGATATGTTGAATAACTTGCATTTTTCCGAGTACACCTCATCAATATCTTTGAAATACTGCTCTATCTGAAACAGTTAACACTATATAAGACTAAATATGGCTATAAATGCAACACAATGCCAAACTTGGCGGGAAAATGAAAATTCAAATTTTTAAGCCAAAAAAGCCGATTTTTGTACCTAAAATAAGGTAAAATATTTTTAAAATGTCATTTTAAATTACTTAAAATAGCAAAAACTTTGTTTACAGTCCTAAGTTTTACTATAAACCTACTTCTTCATACGTATGGTACTCATCCATGGATAATATGCCCTTGGCGTCTGAACTTAACCGAAATTTTCGTTTTTTCATTCGTCGCTTTTCTTTGTCATAAGCTCTTAAATGTGCTTACTGTAGTACTATACTTGATACTGTAACTTATAGTACTATGAACGTCATTTACAGGCAACACAAAAGTCTTGTCGTTTTTTAGTGTAGAAACTAGTGTAAATTGACGACATGACTTTTAAAACCATATGATATGACATTTTTATAAACAGAGCAGCAAAAGAACATGTAAAGTGACATTCTTGATAGAGATATTGACTTACTTTTGCACATTTTGATTCAAAACACGATACTTTAGCTGGTAATGTTGTAGTAGACTTAGAAACTGAGCTTCGGCTTCTGGAGTGACAAAAGCAATGGCATTGTCTGAGGTCCCGCGTTGATACGACCACAGTTCTAATGTTACTTTGTTTCTCTGAAAAAAATCGTATTTTTGTTTTACTATCGTATAGGATACGATGAGCTAAAGCTAGGGTTGAGAGTGTGGGCTAGGGCTAAGAAATAAGCTTAGGTTTGAACCAAAACTTGGATTAGGACAACAATTAGAACTAAGACTAAGGCTAATACTACGACTAAGACCAGGACCAAGGCCAGGATTAACAGTAAGACCAGGATCTGAACCAGGATCAGAGAGTCAGGACCAAGAATAGGAATAGGATTAAGGCTAAGACTAGAGCTTAATTTAGAGTTTGGACTCAGATTAAGGCTCGGGTTTAGGCTAGGGCTAAAGCTAAATCTAGGGTCAGCTTTAAGACTGAGACAAAGCCTAGCACTGGCTAGGGCTCTGAGCTAGGGCTCTGGGCTAGAGCTTTGGGCTAGGGGTCTGGGCTAAGGTTTTAGACTAGAAATTTAAAAACAACTTACAGTAGCCCTGAATTTTGGATGATTTTCAATTATTTTTCGAAACTCTTCAGGACAATCAAAGCTGTACGTCTTGGCTCTATCGTATCGAACATATTCAGCTAAACAACTGTTGCTGAGGAAAATTACCACCAGTATTGTATATAAAGATCCTCTAAAAAACGTTTTTAAACAGAATGAACGTTTGATCTATTATTGATTAAAATATATTTAAAACTTATAAATTTAACTTTGGAAACATACCGAGTCCGATCGAATGTCATTTCATAAAATCATATTTTTTGTTCAATTTGCCAACCGTTTTGGTAGAAAATAATAAAAAAAAATTTTAAAAATTATTTTCATTTATAAAAACGGATTTTTAAAAATTATTTTTAAAAAAATTATATATAAAATTTTGATCAAGCACCATTAGCCCTTCTTTACATTTTGTCATTTTCATGCCGAGAAGAGCTGGGGTTTAGGCTTCGGCTGCAGCGTATGCTACGTTTAGGCCAACAAGGAAAGTACCCGACTTGCCCCGCTCTGTTTGACTTTAGACTTTTTATATAGAAAGATCATGTAAATATAAGATCTTCAGCCAAGTACTAAATCGCGCTTTCCAGGAAATCTCAAGAAAATCGAGATCAAACTACTGCGTTTTGAATTTCCAAGTCATTAAACTTTCATTTTATAAACCCAAAAATCCTTAAAAATCCATGATTTTATTAATAAATAACAATGGGTAAAATAGTATAACATAATATGTACAGATTAAATTTGTAGCTACTGTGTTACAGTACTTTAATACAGATTTACAAAGCTATTTTACTGTCTTACAGTACTATTTTTCTGTATCAGAGAACCATATTACAGTATCACAGTACTAGAATAACGTATTGTAGTATCATTTGACGATATAATAGTAATATATTACCGTAATCTAGTGAAAGAGTAATATATTACTGTTACTCAGTGTAAGAGTAATACATTACTGTAACCACATTACAGTATAACAACTAGTATCACACTCATTCATCATCACTGTCGATCATACTCATGATGGTGGTGGTACTGATGGCACTACCTCTTCGGCCGGTCCTCGGCTCCACTGGTACCTCAATACATTGACCGCACTTCCTTATCATTGGCAGCTCACGAGCCCACTTCCTGGTCTCAGCTTTGGCCGTGATATCGAATATCAGGACACAAACGATGACTAGAAGCCCCACTGATAACAGAATCCAACTCCAGCCTTCTTGATTAGCGTGTGGTGCTACCAGGCCAATGATTTGTGGTACCAGTAGTACCACTAATGAGTTGATGTAGGACTGGAAGGACATTAAGACTGAGGCGAAGCGACCGGCTATGAGTTGACTGGACTTGGTGGCGCCGACTGAGTTAATGCCATTAAAGACTGTCACTCCTGAAATTGTTAAAGTTATGTTATGGAGAAGGTATTTTAATATTAATATTTAGTTTTTATAGTAAGTAGGGTAAGGTAAAATAAGGTAATTTACTGTAAAGTAAGTTAAGGTACTGATGGATAAGGTAGGGCAGTACGGTCAGATATATAAAGTGGGATACTGTACGATAGTAAGTACTGTAGAGAAAATGTAGGGTAGGGTATGGTATAGTATGATATAGTATGGTATGGCATGGTATGGTATGGTATGGTATTGTATGGTATGGTATGGTATGGTATGGTATGGTATGGTATGGTACGGTATGGTATGGTATGGTATGGTATGGTATGGTATGGTATGGTATGGTATGGTATAGTATGGTATGGTATCCCCCCCGTACCTAATTACAAAACCCCTACTTTTTGAAGATTGATCCCTTAACAGTAAGTAATCATTGTATTTCTGACCTTTGCTTTTCCTTTTCTCTTCTTTACAATACTATTCTATTTTGGGAGTGATTAGGAAGTAATCTCAAGTTACAGTAAACACAAAACTACTTATTTTTGGTTGTTTATGCCCTTTGGCATCACATATTTCACAATTGACCAAAACAAAATTGCAAAAAAAGTAAAATGTCACGTCCATTGGATACGTCAACAAAAACAAAAGGCAAGTTGATACGTATCATATGTTTAGGTAGAAAGTTCAATATTGTGGTATGATGACATTACATAACTTATGATAATATTAGATAATTTACCCTACCCTACCCTACTCTACACTTGAACTTAACTTACACTATGCCTTGTCTTACCCCACCATCTCTCCTACAGTACCTAGAAAAAGCACTTTCTGTCCAAGCGTATAAGTTGTCATCCGCAGCCTGCGCAGCCAAACAACTAGGCATGAGGAACGGGCCGGGTACAATTTTCAGGCCCTGCCCCGCATAAATTTGGGTCAAGCCCGGCTATCGCGGACGGAAAACAACTCTACCCCACCCTGCCTTACCCTACGACCTTACCTACCCTACCATATTGTAATTTTTGCCTCTGCTGTACCACGCCATTCTTTATTCTACTCTACTGTACTTTATTTCTCTCTATTGTACATTGCCGTGCCCTACCCTACTAATTTTTTTCACTTTACAATACCTTGCCAAGCCAAGCCACTAATCAATTTTCCTGTACAATACATTGCCATACCCTACCTTCAAAAACTCTTCAACTTACCAGTAAAAAGTGCCTGAGCCAGCCAAATATTTCCAGCCTGCAGAAACGCCAGTCCAATGAAGCAGCCAGCCATGCAGAACTGTGATATCGTAGCAAATAACTGAACCCTCAGCTTATGACTCATACACGTCATTTTGTCACTAGCCGGTCCAACAATGAACTTCACCATCAAGGCAATGACTGAAGGCAGAGCAGCCATAAATCCGGTGTGATGTATGTTCAGATGCAATACCTTGTTCAAGTACAACGGACCATACAAGGCGAATATCTGGAAACCAACACGAGATCCAAGTGCACAAATTTGGGTACCAAGCACGGCTGGATCTTTCAAGATTTTGCCGTAGGGGATCTTTTCAGTTTGGCATTGTTCTTTTGAACATTTCACTTTTCCACGCTGGATTTTGGACAATTCTTTCAGGGAGACGTTCCTGAAAACAGTCATTTTTAGGTATGAATAAGCACTGAAACCCATTGAGACCTCGCGCCCATTGAGACCCCGGTCCATTGAGACCCCGAGCCCATTGAGACCTTGAAAGGAGGTTCGGCGGAGCGTCGGCGGAGACTTTAGGGGATTCGGCGGAGGGTCGGCGGAGACTTTAGGGGATTCGGCGGAGGCTTTAGGGGATTCGGCGGAGGGTCGGCGGAGACTTTAGGGGATTCGGCGGAGGTTCGACGGAGACTTTAGGGGATTCGGCGGAGGGTCGGCGGAGACTTTAGAAGGTTCGGTGGAGACTTTAGGGAATTCGGCGGAGGGTCGGCGGAGACTTTAGGGGATTACCCCTGACCTTTTTAGCTTTATCCGACTTTACCCCTACTTACCGTATCGTACCATACCTTACCATAACCTATCCTATCTACCATACCACACCCTGAGATAACATACCACAGTATGTCATCATATGCCATACTATACTACACTATGTTATACTATATATGTTGTTTTACTTACTTATTCTACCATACCCACGGATAGTACACGGTAGTTTTGTATAAGGTTGAATAAGGTAAGGTATGGTACAGTTTAGAATGGTATAGAATGGTATGGTATGGTATTGTAAGGTTTGGTATTGTATGGTAGGGTATGGCATGTTATAATATGGTAGGGGTATTGTAGGGTTTAGTATGGTAGATAGAATAGGTTATGGTAGGATACGGTATATTAGGTACAATAGGGTAGAGTATGGTATAGTTTGGTATGGTATGTTTAGTAAGATGGGTATGGTATAGTATGTAACACAGGATATCTTATGGTATATTATAAAGGATGGGTATGGTATAGTTGGGTATGGTAGAAAGGGCAAAGGTAAGTTTGGGTAGGGCTAAAAAGGTTAGGGGTAAAATCGGGTATATACCCGCCGGATGCATAAAAGTCTTCGCCGAATCTCTTAAAGTCTCTGCCGACCCTCCGCCGAATCCCCTAAAGTCTCCGCCGAATTCCCTAAAGTCTCCGCCGAACCCCTAAAGCCTCCGCCGACCCTCCGCCGAACTACCTAAAGTCTCCGCCGGCCCTCCGCCGAATTCCCTAAAGTCTCCGCCGACTCTCCGCCGAACCTCCTTTCAAGGTCTCAATGGGCGTTTGGGGTCTCAATGGTCTCGGGGTCTCAATGGACCCGGGGTCTCAATGGGCGCGAGGTCTCAATGGGAGGGATTCATGAATAAGATAAGTAATTGAGACAGATAAATATCGTTAGATAACAAAAACCTCGAAGATTTATATGTTGCCTAGAAAAATTTCAAAAACTTTGTTTACAACCTCCTTTTTTTAAAAAACTAAAAAATTTGGACAGAAAACGCACAAAAAAAATAAAAACACTTCTTGAAAACAGTCATTTTTGGGTATAAATAAGATAAGTGGTTAAGCAAAATAAATGTTATAAAGAGCAAAAACATTGAAGATTAAAATACTAAAAAGAAAAGTTGCAAAAACTTTGTTTACAACCCTTTTTTATTCAAAAACTGAAAAAATGAAAGCTGTGCGGGCTCGAACCTGGGTTTAATCAAGCGCACTGTTGCTTAACTTGCTAGATTGGACAAAGTTAGGCTTTAGTTTGTGAAAAGATGCAATAACTTTGTTTCCAGATAATAAATTTCATAAAAAATTTTAAAATTTTTTTATAGCGCTTGCTCTTTATTACGTTGTTCAAATAATTTTGAGCTATCTCTCAAAACAAATTTGCAGAGTTAGTAGCGCAAGATTTTTTGTACAATCATATATAAATGTATGGTTTTAAAAGCGCAATAACTTTGTTTCCAGTCAACAAAAAACTTCAAAATTGACCTTTCTAGATGCCCATGAATATAATAAGTAATACCCCAAAAAATTTAAAAATTTGCAAAAACTTTCTTTCCAAACCAACTCATTTTGTCTTACCTGTGCATTTCCGGCGAGTCTCGGTAGAAAACATAAAATACGACGAAGCTCAGCGTAGTAACCGCTCCCAAAACGTAGTAGACCATAGGCCAGCCCAATGGGCTTTCACACAACATTCCGGACAAAGGCATAGCAATAATGGGGCCAAGTTGTAGATGCATTGACAGCAGGGCGACGTAAGTTCCGGATCGCTTGATTGAGGACCAATCAGCGACCACAATGCCGGTGGCTGGTAGAGTTAAAGCGAAGGAAATACCCTAAATTTTGCAAAATTTTTATTTTTGTAAAATACGTTTTGCCCACTCTATTATTGGCTTATTAACCAGCTTTTGTTAAGAATAAATAAAAGTAAAAACAATCGTGGTGAGACCCAACTTTTTTTTCAAAATATTGTCTTAACCTATCAAAAAGAAAGAAAAAAAATCCGTACTTTACAAAAAAAAATAAAAATCAACTTACAACCAAGAATCTGGAAGCCAATACCGGCCAGAATCCAAATGGTGCAACAAAGGGCAGAGCCAAGGTGAAGATAGCCGAAATGGCCCCATAAGCCGTAAAAACAAGCCTAAAATTTTTTTTTGTCAAAACGGCACAAAAGTAAAACTTACTAACGTATTTTAAACCCAAATTTTCAAAATTTTCAAAAAATTTTTTGAATTTTGTTTTTCCCGCCAAAATTTAAATTTAAAAATTTTTGTCAAAATTTAAAATTTTTTAAAACAAAATTAAAAAGTAGCTTAAAAACATAAAAATGACGATTCTGTATTCGTATTTTACCTCGCTCCATATTTCAAATTCAGCTTGGCAATAGGTAACGTTCCAACTAGTGCTCCTAAAGCGATCGAACTGAACAACCAACTGTTTTGCATGCTCGTGAACATGTAATTTTCATTTTCAGTCTTATTTGCACCATTTGCACCATTTTCCAACAACTTCTCCAAACTGGTACTACTGGTACCATTAACAGTACTACTGGTACCATTAATAGTACTACTGGTACCATTTTCGCCAAAAGTCGCAACTTGACTAGAAAACGGCGTGTCAGGCTGTCGCATGCAAATAACAGTAAAATTCAACGCTGTAGCATTCGCTATCAACATACTCAAGCACCAGGTCACAATAACCATGATCACCACCCTGGTGTGGTTGTTGAATGTGTACGAGGTGTTGGAGTCATCAGATGGCGCGTCCGACACCCCAAACGACACTTTTGATCCACGACGAGCTGATGACTTGATTGGTGGATCCACCGACTTCATCGATGAATCCGAGGACGATGAGGAGGAAAGCTTGGGAGAAGCATGGCCAGAATCAATAGAATCAACGGAATCTGACGACTTCTTCGGCTCCATTCAGTGCTTTGGCTGCAAATATAGATTTGAATATATAGCCAATTAAGTTTTACAAGTTCAACATCAACGATAACATGAAAAAATGCGCAAAAACTTTCTTTACAAACCCATAACTTTAAAATTTTCAAAACGTTTTACTAAAAAAAGTTTGACCCAATCATCTTTGTTGGTTCATATCTACTGTAATACTTACTGTAACTTTTCTAATTTTTACGTTAATTTAGGTTAATCCATGCCAAAACTAATTCAATAACAATTGTTTTAAAAATCACGCAAGAACTTTCTTTACAGCCTATTTTTTCATTGTTTGCATCAAAAGCTAACTTTAATCTTCGAAACTTTGAAAGACCATAACTACGGTAATTCTTACTGTACTTCTTGACATTTTGCTCAAATCTTGTCCGTACTATTGAAAAGCTAAACCACTTAACAAAAAGTTCAAAATTATGCAAGAACATTCTTTACAGCCTACTTTTTCATAGCTTGCATCAAAACCTAACCCTGTTTAAAACCTAATTTTATTGACTTTGAAAGCCTATAAATACGATACTTCTTACTGTAACTTTTTGAAATTTAGCTCAGATCTAGTCCAGACTATGATAAAACTAGACCACATAACAAAAAGTTTAAAATTATGCAAGAACTTTTTTTACAGCCCATTTTTTCATTGCTTGCATCAAAACCTAACCTTGTCAAAACCTAACTTTATTAAATTTGAAAGCTTATAACTACGGTACTTCTTACTGTAACTTCTTGACATTCAGCTCAATTGTAGAGTCCAGACTATGCAAAAGCTAGCCCACTTAACAAAAATTCAGAAGTGATGCCAGAACTTTCTTTACAACCTATTAAATATTTGCTGAACGTCAAAACTCCAAAAATTTTGAAATTTAAAAAATTCAAAATCAAATTTTGTAAACTGAAAACCTTATCAAAACCGCAATAACTATCTCAACCAAACCGCGTTAAACTCTACTTTTACTACATCACACAAATCACCAGGTTTAGTTGTAACAACTATGAAGAAATCAGAAAGATGACTTTTTCAATGATCAGAACTACAAAGTAAAGTGATAAGATCCGTAAAGTTGGGCGAAAATTGATGGAAAACATCGGGCTGCACTTTTAATTACATCAAAAATGTTTTTTAAAAATTATTAAACTTTTAAAAATTGAAAGAGGTAAAGAAAAGGAGTGTAACGTTAGTTATAAAAGGCTATTTTAGGCTTGTAAACAATGTTTTTGCTGTAAAGTTACAAATATTTTAAAGAGTAGTGTTTATAGTACAATCAATATAAAGTTGAAAAATTAATTTGTAAGCTTTGGAAAGAAAGTTATTGCTGTTTTTTGGTGTTCTAATGTTCTTCTAGCCCTATCACAAAGTCCTAGCCCAGAGCCCTAGCCGAAAGCCCTAGCTTAGAGCCCTGACCCAGAGCCCTAGCCCAAGGTCCTAGCCCAGCCACAGACCCAGGTCTAAACTTAAACCTAAATCCCAGCCTTTACTAGCCCATCTCATGCCAGCCTAGCCTAGCCCAAACCACGCCTACTTACACCAGCTCACGCCAGTTTAGGCCAGCCAAGCCTATCCCAACTCATGCCAGCCTATCCCAGCCCAGACCATGCCAACCTAGGCTAGTCCAGTTTACACCAGTCTAGGCCATCCCAATTCTGCCCAATCCACCCAAAAATTTTCTATTCTTAAAGGCCTACCCATAATTTTTAAACTCTACCCCATCAATCATATAATACTCCGTAATATCAGAACTTTAATGTTTTTATCAAACATTGGCAAAAATACAGCAACTATTGTTTCAGACATTAACACCAACCTTACTCTACCTTCCTCATCCCCCACTTGCTTCTCTTAGCACAGGAGCTGACCACCAGCCAACAATTTACAACAACCCTCTCTCCCCCCACCCCACCCCCTCACTTAACAACAACCCTCTCTCTTCCGCCCCTCCCCCCCCATCCCCCCACTTAACAATTAATAACAACCCTCTTCTACCCCACCCTTTCAAACTACAAATCCCAAACTCACTTTCACACCGCACCCAAAATAGCCGGCTAAACCAGCAAATCCACCTAACTTAATATCAATCAAAGTGCGAATGGAATCGATAAAAAGTCGAGAAAAACAAAGTAAAACGGAATTAATTAACAGACTTTTTAACCGCTTTTTACCAGCCCACTTTACAATAAGTTTTGAGTTCCCTTCCCATCCCAACCATGATTTTTGGTTTACGCCTTAAGGGCAACGTTGGTGACACGTATAAGGGATTGCAAAATGAGGGATGGAACAGTTAAACAGTTTTTTTGATTGAGGACTTGGGAAATTTGATGACTGTTACGTTAAAAACATTAAGGATTACATTACATAAAGAACATGGGCTTTTATCAAGTATAAATATAGTATTTATGACAAACAAAAAATGACAAAACTACCGGTGATTCAAGAACTAAAATCAGAAACATTGCACAAAGTTGTGACGTGCATAATACAGAAAACTTTCTCTATAACGAAAGACAAAAACCTTTCTTTATTGAACATAAATTGGCAAGAACTTTCTTTACAAAACATAGAATAGCAAGAACTTACTTTACAGAATACAAAATAGCAAGAACTTTCTTTACAAAGCGTAAAATGGCAAGAACTTTCTTTACAAATCATAAAATGGCAAGAACTTTCTTTACATAACATAAAATGGCAAGAACTTACTTTACAAACTATAAAATGACAAGAACTTTCTTTACATAACATAAAATGGCAAGAACTTTCTTTACAGATCATGAAATGACAATAACTTTCTTTACAGATCATGAAATGACAATAACTTTCTTTACAGATCATGAAATGGCAAAAACTTTCTTTACAAAACTCATTTTACATGACAACCGCAATAACTTTCTTTACAGAACCTAAAATGACATTAAACGTATAACTTTTCCCTTGCGGGCTGCACAGTGCAAAGTTTAATCGTTTTTAGAGAGAACTTTCTTTACAAAAACTTGAATGACAAGAACTTTCTTTACAAATCTTAAAATGGCAGAAACTTTCTTTACAAATCTTAAAATGGCAGAAACTTTCTTTACAGAGCGTAAAATGACAAGAACTTTCTTTACAGAAATTAAAATGGCAATAACTTTCTTTACAAATCTTAAAATGGCAATAACTTTTTTTTATAAAGCTTAAAATGGCAATAACTTTCTTTACAAACAATAAAATGGCAAGAACTTTCTTTACAAAGCTTAAAATGGCAAGAACTTTCTTTACAAATCATAAAATGGCAAGAACTTTCTTTACAAATCATAAAATGGCAAGAACTTTCTTTACATAACATAAAATGGCAAGAACTTACTTTACAAACTATAAAATGACAAGAACTTTCTTTACAAAACATAAAATGGCAAGAACTTACTTTACAAACTATAAAATGACAAGAACTTTCTTTACATAACATAAAATGGCAAGAACTTTCTTTACAAATCATAAAATGGCAAGAACTTTCTTTACAGATGAAAAAATAACTTTTATCATATAACATGTCACGCACAGACTGCCAGGCAAAACGTTTGGTTTTTTCAACTTAAAAATGGCAAAAACTTTCTTTACAAAACAAAGAATGGCAAAAACTTTCTTTACCAATCGAAAAATGGCGATAACTTACTTTACAAATCGAAAAATGGCAAAAACTTTCTTTACAAAACAAAGAATGGCAAAAACTTTCTTTACAAATCGAAAAATGGCAAAAACTTTCTTTACAGAGCGTAAAATGACAAGAACTTTCTTTACATAACATAAAATGGCAAGAACTTACTTTACAAACTATAAAATGACAAGAACTTTCTTTACAAAACATAAAATGGCAAGAACTTACTTTACAAACTATAAAATGGCAAGAACTTACTTTACAAACTATAAAATGGCAAAAACTTTCTTTACAAATCGAAAAATGGCAAAAACTTTCTTTACAGAGCGTAAAATGACAAGAACTTTCTTTACATAACATAAAATGGCAAGAACTTACTTTACAAACTATAAAATGACAAGAACTTTCTTTACATAACATAAAATGGCAAGAACTTTCTTTACAAATCATAAAATGGCAAGAACTTTCTTTACAGATGAAAAAATAACTTTTATCATATAACATGTCACGCACAGACTGCCAGGCAAAACGTTTGGTTTTTTCAACTTAAAAATGGCAAAAACTTTCTTTACAAAACAAAGAATGGCAAAAACTTTCTTTACAAATCGAAAAATGGCAAAAACTTTCTTTACAGAGCGTAAAATGACAAGAACTTTCTTTACAGAAATTAAAATGGCAATAACTTTCTTTACAAATCTTAAAATGGCAATAACTTTTTTTATAAAGCTTAAAATGGCAATAACTTTCTTTACAAACAATAAAATGGCAAGAACTTTCTTTACAAAGCTTAAAATGGCAAGAACTTTCTTTACAAATCATAAAATGGCAAGAACTTTCTTTACATAACATAAAATGGCAAGAACTTACTTTACAAACTATAAAATGGCAAGAACTTTCTTTACAGATGAAAAAATAACTTTTATCATATAACATGTCACGCACAGACTGCCAGGCAAAATGTTTGGTTTTTTCAACTTAAAAATGGCAAGAACTTTCTTTACAAAACATAAAATGGCAAGAACTTACTTTACAAACTATAAAATGGCAAGAACTTTCTTTACAAAACATAAAATGGCAAGAACTTACTTTACAAACTATAAAATGGCAAAAACTTTCTTTACAAATCGAAAAATGGCAAAAACTTTCTTTACAGAGCGTAAAATGACAAGAACTTTCTTTACATAACATAAAATGGCAAGAACTTACTTTACAAACTATAAAATGACAAGAACTTTCTTTACATAACATAAAATGGCAAGAACTTTCTTTACAAATCATAAAATGGCAAGAACTTTCTTTACAGATGAAAAAATAACTTTTATCATATAACATGTCACGCACAGACTGCCA